GTGTATATGACCTTGGCGATCGAGTTCCTCTGGCGCTACCTCCACGACAGGCCACTGCGGGAGGTCACCAGGACAGGATACACATTGGACAAGTCGACAAAGCGCATGATCCTGGCCCTCATCATCAGCGGTGTCTGCATCTACATTCGGTGAGTTCGATGTCCATTTCGTCGCTCCATGGCCTCTAATATCAGTCATGTCAAAGCTCGATCTACAGGACCATTGTACGTAGACCTTCCATTGACACACATTATCTCATCACTAAGCCTCATCACAGGAGCTCGCTGACGGCTGGCACGGCGTCGTCATTCATACTCAAGCCCTGTTCAGTACGTTTCCCGCTATCTGACCATTTTGTATATCGACAACTAAATCACGAACACTCCAGACATCTTCGACGCGGGTATGATCACGATCGCAATGTACTCGCTGAACATCTTCCATCCCGGCCGTCTCCTGGGACGCGGGAAGGTGTGGAAGGAGGTCAACCATGGGGAGAAAGGCTACGCGCTCAATTCAGCCCCAGAGTTTGACGATCCAGTCAGTGTAGAGTCAAATCCTTTAATGACAGTTTGAGATGAGATTTCAGATTAGTGGGCATCATCTTGCGTGGTCCTAAACTGCCAATCTCCTTGTAGGCGTCGATTTTCACAGATTGGAACAAATCAGTGCTCCGCTTGGGCTGCCTTAGTGCGATAGTCAGTTTCATCGAGAGGACTAGGCACAGTGCAAATCAAGACAAAAGTAGGGATGCATTCCGCCATATTCTGCCTTGGTGTTCCTTGAGTAGACGCGTACAAAGTTTCCACTTACATCTCGCTGAAAATAAAAGCGAGAACAAGTAACCAGGAAAAACGACGAGCTCTCAGTTAGGAAGCGACTCATCGCAAGGGCTCGCAGATTATGGCTTACGGCATGTTACGCTGTGCGACGCAATTTACCAACCTGAGGTGGACGCCGGATTCGAATATGGTGGTCTGCGCATATCCCGATCTTGAAAGCTTGATCGCTTGATCGTTGATCGCGAGGACGGATAGCATGTGTGAAGTGATGGAAACGAAGAGCAGTACAACTGTTACTCCATTCTTTGCTGTGGAAGCTGTCCCGGACAGCCAAGCTGGCTGGTCAACCCTTCGCGAGCGCGAAACGCGATCAGGTCACAGATGCATTCATGTTTATTCCTCATCGGGGCCTGAAGTATTGGTTTCCCGATGTGATCACGTGATGCATGCGAACGGACGCGCCAAAGGAACTCTTCAATACTTTTGTGTGATCAACCTTCCCAAACACGCCGACAGCATCATCCACAGTGACAGTGCTTAAGCTCTATTTTGATCACGTCTCATAGCCGCACTCCTGGACAAAGTGCTTCTGAGCTCACCGAAATAATCGAGACCATGGCACCGCCCACCACAACCTCGGCTGCGAACCAGACAACGCCCGTAGCCCCTGCTGGTCTTACATCGCGCTCAAGACCGCAAGCCGCGCGTAAAAGAGCTCAGCCACTTGCAGACGATGCCGCGTATCATGGTTCTACGTCCGTGGGAGGCGCGGGTACGAAGAGGGTGGCGGCGGAGAGAGTGGAAGGTGAACCACGCGTCAAGAGAAAGAGGGTGGACGCGTCGGGAATTGCTTCAGGAAGCGCAAATATGAGCATGGCAAGTGGAGCAAGCCTAATTGCAAGTGCCAATGCGGCAAGGAGGGATAGAATGGGTTCAGACGGCGAGGGAAAGCTCTCCTTGGTAAGCTGGCCATTACTTTCAGTGCGGAAATGCAAACAGCTCGCTACTTGCGTCAAGCAAGCACTCACGGCTGCCTGATTCTTGACGGCTTGAGGGCAGTGCACCATCATATCGCGAGTGACGGTGTCATTGTGGCTGGCTGTGGCCCATCAATTGTCTGGGGGACCATGGGATACAAGCCTGCACAATCTGCGCGCATGCTATTGGATGCTACGTACCATCTGGCAGAGCTGCCTGGCAGCAATATTTGACTTCACTCGTACCCACCTCTGCACCAGCTTGATTTGTACTTATACCGCTGTATGCACAGGTCGATTTCTCTGCGCTACCTACTTCCGCACTGCACGAATACTTGGTGCAATATGACCTTGTTCCTGAGATTGACCCATCGCCACTCACTGCGGACGACCCACCACCGCCCTCGTCTCTCCTTCGGCCCCGAATTCACGCCCGAAGACATGTGTCAACTGCGAGCCCAGGGCCGTCACTACCCGTCACTCCTGCGAACAGACCGAGGCGGGATCTTGGCAACCGCAGACGTAGCGCGCGCCTCGTCGAGGACGACCAGATGTCGGACCAGTCGGTGATCCCTATACTGGCGGATTTGGACGAGTTGCATACTGTCCTTGCCAAAGTGGCGGAGAGACATTTCCGCGAACATAATGTCAAAGAAGTCGATGCGCTTTCGACTTTTATGTGTGCTGTCAGAGCCAAAGGTGAGTCTTGCCGAGTTGGACGTACCCATCGGAATGGCCGAGCGCCCGAGGTCGATATTGTTGAGCTCATTGGTTGCTGATCGCGATGACCGGGGCGGCGTGGTCCAATGTAACGTCTGGTACACTGCTTGCCGGTAGTGTGCTAATGGACATCCTGAGAGCTGCAGTTCTCGTTCTGGTCTCGACATCAGCCACCGGTGCAGAATTTCATATTTGATTCGACGCCCCCGCTCGAACATGGCAGATTCTGATACCCCTATTTTGACAGCGCGTATGGCCTCGTGATCGATATTGAATGCTGCCCAATGTTTGCAGCGCATGACCATATACATGCACGCAGGATTCCATTTAGTATCCTGTACCCCGTCTGCATCTACAATATGTCAAGCTGTCGTTGGACTTTCTACGTGATGGCACCCAGCTAGCCGTCGCGGGACAAGTTTTGTTCGTTTCCTGGGTGACTCTCATCTACGCAACTTCCATACTTGCCCTGTCTATTTGGATGCTTAGAGCTGTCTCTGTCCTGTATAAATACGCGCACGGTGTTTATTGATACCATCCCCTCATTCTCTTCGTACACTCATTCGACTTCTCTGTTCGCAGCAGAGCTGCTCAGGCCTTCCTTGTGAGCCAAGCCTGTATCATGGCTGATAACATAAATATTGACCCGTGCGATCGCTAGCTATTCTTTGCCTGTCCCGGTGACTTCTTTCCGTCCTCGAAGCCAGCTTCAGGTCTTCTTCAGGTTTCGCACAACGATGAAGTTCGCTACGCCCCTTTCTGCTCTCATTTGTGTGCTCCCCTTGCTGGCTGGGGTAGTTGTGGCAAAGCCCGTGGTAAGAGCGACATAGAGTCTAGGATCAGCCTGTATTGATTTTGAACAGGCCAGGCCCCAGGACATCACGCAGGGTGTAACGATTAATGGTTCCGCCGGAACAGTATCTGTCACTGAAGGCGTCACAACCGGAGACTCCAGCTCTGGATCAAGTGCGGCTGCAGCTTCCTCCACTGCAAACTCAACTGATTTACAGTCTTCCTTGAGTACGTCGCTTCTACCATCCCTGATACCAATAGTGCTGATGACATCACCGCAGCACTCGATCCGTCGTTGGTTGCTACTGGATTCGAGCAGAATGGACAGAATGCCCCCAGTGCGGAGGCTGGCCAGGTTCCGTCACTGACGTCGAGCAACAACTTCATCAACTTCTGCGCCACAGTCTCGAACCTACCTCTCACCAACGGCCTGCAGATCAAAAGCGGATCATGCAATCCAGCGCCGATGGGAGTCATCGCCGCAACCACGAACATGCCCGCTAGCAAGTTCATCTTCCCCGCCAATGGCGCAACGATCCCCGCGAACAAGAACTTCACGATCCAGATGGCCATCGAGAACCTCGAGACCGGCAACTTTGTCAACCCAGATACGAACTTCTTCGCGGCGCCACAGCAGGTCAATTCGGCGGGCGACATTGTCGGCCACTCGCATGTCGTCATCCAGGCGCTCCAATCGCTCAATCAGACGACCGTGCTCAACCCCAGCGTGTTCGCGTTCTTCAAGGGCCTGAACGACCCGGCCGTGAATGGGGTTCTCTCACAGGTGGTCTCCGGAGGTCTTCCTGCGGGAGCTTACCGTCTCGCGTCCATCAACACTGCGGCGAACCACCAGCCCGCGCTTGTGGCCGTCGCACAGCACGGTGCACTTGACGACAGTCAGTATTGGCTTTCTTGTATCGTGCACACAAAGGTTCTAACCTCTGTCCTCGCGTAATAATTCATGAATACAGTGGTCTACGTGAGTTGTCCGCGTGCATTCTCTTGGCCCGGCAAGTGCTGACCCTTCGATCTAGTTCACCGTTGCCGACAGTGCATGACCAATGAGCCTGCGATGCGAGTCAAGTTTGCGTCTATATGAGCGTTCACCGGGCGAGTGATACTTCGTAAACTGGGATAGGGGCTTATGCATATTTATAGCCTGAGAATGAATGGGATCGGGGTTGGGTAAAGGCACTAGGATGATCTCTTGAACGCAATGAGGCCTCAGTATCAAATGCACCAAGACACTGCATCTTTGAGAACAATTACGTGGTTCGAAGACGTGTGCTCGAGATATAAACAGAGAGCATATACGAGCTATGGCAAGTTTAGGATGTAGAGTATCGACATGAGAGCGTTAGGAAAGCTCATGCGCCACCCGTGTATTCCGGCGCCACATCGTTGATAATCTGTCCTTGCGGTATCAAAGCGAGGCTTTGAGCTAGGTCCAACGCTTTGAGCCCCCTCAACTTTGTGAATATTTTGCGGACTTGCACACGCTAAATACATCTTCAACCGCTGACACTGATGGAACACACTATATAGCCACATCATTGCCACAGCGCAGTGGCTCATGAACGGCCCAAACGGACGGCGTTCTGCCTCTTGCGCCACACGACAATAATCAACGAAGCCACCCAATTGGCCCCGACGCCTTGTTATAGCCACGTTGCTGCGATCCTTTGTCTTGCGATTGGGCTAAGCGATCACATGGAAATGACACCCTTGTTGTTTAAACAAACGCACAGACCGTCTGCGCAGTTCAATGAGAGTATAAAGTTCGACCAAGTCAATCTCCCCCCCCCCCAACTCATATCTCATTGAGCTCCCCACATATCCATCTCTGCTTTCATCCCTCCTGAGGCCTCGTCATCTGCCATGCCTTCTGCAACGAACCAGGCGCGCGCTAGGAGACAGTATAGCACGGCAGCACCACCTGCGCCACAACCTCTAAGGCCCAAGCGCCAAGCTTACGAATCAGAAGAGGAGAATGAGACCGACAGCGAAATTGACGAGCTCGAAGAACATGAAGAACTGGGATCGGGGACTGATATTGGCTCCGAGGACTCCTATGAGTCTGAGTCCGAGCAAGACATAGAGACAAAGACTCGCAAGGAGGAACGGATGAGGATTGCAAACGACGCACTGGCAGAACTGAGAGTCCGTTTGTCCCCCCTTGACGGATTCCAGGTGAGTTTCTGCGTCCTCACGTCGAAGAGCCGTGTGGCGAGCTGTGAGCACTATGATTCCCAGATAGGCCAACGTGTCTGGGTGTGTACATCCGAAGATGATAATTATTGGGAGACAGGCATAGTATGCAGAATCTCATTCGGCGGCAATATATCAAGAGTGCGTAATGTGGCGCTCTTAACTCTCAAGAAGTGAAATAACTGACCGTTGCTCATAGACTACCTACTATACTGTCTACGACAAGGAAGACGTTAAGAAAGACGACAAGGAAAGCGACGAGGAAAGCGACGAGGAAAGCGACGAGGAAAGCGACGAGGAAGACGGCGAGAAAGACGGCGAGAAAGACGGCGAGAAAGACGGTGAGGAAGACGGTGAGGAAGACGGTGAGGAAGACGGCGAGGGAGACGGCGAGGAACACAACAAGAAACACGTCAAGGAAGTCGACGAGGGACGCTACTTGGGACGATTCAGAGCAGAACACGGCTTTATCAAGGCAGACTGCGAATGGGCACGCGATTTACTGCGTAGAGCAGGGAGATTAGCTTAAAGCAAGCTTAAGTGTGTCACTGTCAGCGCTTGATCTTGGAGGTGTCGTGTGGCTACACAATTATTCTTTCGTCCTTCGAGTCAGTGTCGCGTTTGACATGGTGTTTTACCCGCTTACGACTTTATAAAATACTACCTGTTTTTGTTTGAGAGAGAATGAATTTGATTGTGTACTCTGAACTCGAGTAGCTGCCCAAGCCTCGCGAAGGAGGATTATTATTTGCTGATCATTGAACCGACTGAGGTGCTGTGGCCGTCACGGTCCCAGTCATCACGCAGTCACATTCGCCACTGTGCGGAGAGCTGCCTTTTTTGGCAGTCTGACGTCAGCGGGGAATGCAAGTCACGCTCGATGCGAGCGGTCCCGTATGTAACCCAGCCTCTAAAACCCGGATCCTCAATCGCGTACCACCATCTTGTCTCTCAACCACTACCATCTCCCCCGTAGACGCATACATCCCAATTCTTCATCATGTCTTTGCTTCAGGGTGTCCTCCGCACGCACATACTGGACTCTCAGAGCGGCCGCACTACCCCGCACGACAGCGACGACGAGCTCGTTGGAGTGGTACGTTGCCCTCTACACAGAGATCGAGGAAAGGCTGTCTGACGCTGTCCTTGTAGGTCTCAAGCCCTGGTACACCAGCCTCGGGCTCTCGCCCCTCATCGCGCCCTGCCTCGCCTGGTCCTGGCAGTGTGCGGCACCCGCGGCGCGCACTACACGTTGCATCCACACCGCACGGTGTCCCATCCGATCCTCTGAGGGCTTTCCACACGGAGGTATCGCAACGGATCTTCTCACAGCTATCGATCAAGGACCTCGCGAGATGTGCACGGGTCTCGAAGAAGTGGAGCAAGAGCCAAACTATCAATTACGGTGTGTGCCGGACGCTCTGTTTGCCTAATGTGAACTGTATTGATGTCCGCGATCTGCAGTCTGGTTCCAGCACTACCGGCGAGAGAACTTCCACGACGATAGCTTACCGCCGGGCAAGTGGACGAAGCGCGAATCCAAGCAGAACTGGGTAAGCACCGACCACGTGTTTACTCTGTAATGCCCATGTTGTTGACCCTCTGTGCTCAGCGTGTCACTCACCTCCAAACTATGGCGTCGCGCACGACCGACGAGCTCGGCCCCATCTACCACTCCTACTCTGGGCTTTCCACGCCCGGCTCGGGTTACCAGACCCCCCGCGAGGTTCGCGAGGAACAATGGCGCCAGGAGACTTCAGGAGAGGTTCGTCCCTCGAAGAACGAGATGCGCGCCATGTACAAGGAACTCGGCGGTCGTAAACCCAAGTCTAAGGGGAAGGCTGGTCCGCCTAGTGGAGCCGGTGCTGCCCGATACGCAGGTAGCCTTGCTAATGAGGAAGACGAAGGCTACTAGCTGATCTCAGGAGGTGACCGCATGGTACAAGGCTTGGAACAGGATTGCGATGTGTACGATCTTCATGTAGCGACCCCACGAGTTGTTGTTGTATTTCTACCCATTATCTTGCATATCGAAGGCTCAACTAGTGATGAATAAGAATTGTTCTTGCCACCAGGATTGATGATCAGCCACCTGCGATCCCGCGACGCGATCGTGCCCACGTGAGGAATTGCCGAAACCGGTTGGGACTAAGTTCGAACTCGGAGGCGCAAGAGGACAGGGCAACGTTCACTTACGACCGCCATCGCTGCAGACCTAGTTTGCATCCCGCGAAAGCGTTTTGCGAATAGTTTTGTGTTTCGCCAAGCCGCCTATTGAACAGCATGGTCATCACGAGAACCCCGACAGAACACTTCCGCACGAGCTCCAGTGTCAGATTGCTCTCTCCTCGAGAGCGTATGTCCACCAGCGAGGTCGGTCTCTGTCACGCCCGTTCTGTTTAGTACGGTACGCGGCTGCTCAGATTCTTATTAATAGTTCCCTACCACGCCGTCCACCTGCCATAGGACGTCCGGATGTGTCTCAGGTTCCCCAGACACGCTCGGTTTCGAGGTGCGTCATTCATATTCAAGTCTATATTGTGGCCGACGGTCCAACCCTTGCAGACATCGCTAGAGAAGCAGCATAGTTTGGAACCTTATGTCATTTGCACGCCCACAATAGACGGGAAGCACCGGCAAACAATTGAGCAGTGCATCTCGAATCACAATAATGATGTTAATAATATCAGCTTCGAGGTTAAGGTAAGGTCCTAACGACAACGCGTCACCGATCTCTACTCACACCAGTTATAAAAGCAAACCACGAACATTCGTGGTACTGCTTCGGCCTGGGATGATAATGGCATTGACGTATGTGATACTTCTTTCCTGTGAATATGCAAGCGTCTTACGGCACGTCGTCGCGTAGGAACTCATGATCATGTCTCCGAAGCGGACAAGTGTTCACCACTCACCGCAGACGGAGATTGCCAGTGAGCTTGACAAGCATTCAGCGAGGGATCGTCCCAAGCCGTGTCAAGCAGCACAAATAGTTGCCGCTGCTGATTTCGAGGTTATCCGCACCCTTGGCTGTCCCAGAGGAGGAAGCGAAGTGGGCGAGCTGGTGCTAGGGAGGCTGAAGACATCAGCACGGCAGTATGTCATCAAGATCTTCAGGAAATCTACGTTGGGGGCGGAAAGACAAGCTACCTACCGTGTACAACGTGAACAGAAGGCGTTGCGCCTGATTGTCGAGCGCGATATCCCGTTCGTCCCTCAGCTGCGCTGGAGCTTTCAGGACGAGAAGGCTCTGTATCTGGTAATGGTGGGTTATTTTGGATGCTGTCAGTATGTGAATTCTCTCATGCAGTCGTATCCTAATCACAGGAAGATTACACCGGTCAGAATTTGCGAACGTGGGTGAAGCGCAACGGCATAGTTCACCCCGACGAGGTCAAGGTATATGCGGCAGAGTTGGTGAGCATGGGATTAGCGCATTGATACACCCGAACTTGCTCCGGTGCTGACGGAGAGTTGTGACTAGGTTGCAGGGCTATCTGCACTGCATGCGGCGGGGATCGTCTACCACGCCTTGAACCCGGAAACCGTGCTCATTAGGAAGGACGGGCGTATCGTACTGGCAGACCTCAGCAGCGCGAAGATTCTACAGGCTAATCGCAACGCCTCAGGGGCTGAATCTGCCTGTGATATGAGTTTATCTGAGGTGGGACAATATCAGGCGCCCGAGGTTATTCTGCGATGGGCCCATGACTACAGTTCGGACTGGTGGGGATTTGGACTATTGCTGTGCTTTATGCTGACAGGAAAAGTGAGCCTACGGCATCTTTCCCATATCTCATGCTGACGAAGGTTGCCGCACTTTCAGCATGCCTTCCTCGGCAACAAGAGCTTCACAAACATGCATTCTTCGCTATGGGAAAGTCGTGTCTTGCATGGTAGAATGGTGGCCGACTTGACAGAGTCTGTGGGTCCCGATGCCCTAGACTTACTCTCAAAGGTATGACTATCCCAGATGATTGGGGTGTCTGATCAGAACGTCCTCTTTCATGTACGATCAGTGCCTTGAGCGGAACCCCGTCTTACGCCTTTCGGAAGAAGGCATCAAAAAGCATACATTCTTCGCAGGAGTGTAGGTAATCTACTTGTAACCTCGAGGGCCCGTATCTAATCACTCCTCATTGCGTAGGGCATGGGACAAAGTGGGCGAGATGCCAATACCAGGTTTCACTGCATGCGATCGTCCCTTCCCGTTTGAAGCTGATGTGTCTTTCGCTAGTTGCACCCGACGTTTCCGGAGAATATGAGAAGACCAACTCGCCGCACGACGTGCACGCAGCCGAGGAGATCAATGAAATGCTCCTACACATGGCCGAGTCGCGCTGGTTGGACGGTGAAACTGGCGCTATTGATGGATTCTCATTTACTTGGGGATCAAATGATGCTGATAGCGTGGACATGCAGGTGCACTCAGCTGCCGACGGAGATAGCCAAGACGATGTTACTTCGTCAGACTTCCTCGACTCAGTTACAGGCCTCCCGACTCAGGACACTTACAATAATTCCCGAACTGAAGACCACGAGGTTGATATCATCATACCTGCAGAATTTGGTGGATGCCACCCGAACATGCCTTCACCGAAGAAGTTTGGGACGCTCCGCAAATATTCTAGCCTGAACTTTGACCTGGACACGCTGCCGTCTGCTCCATCCTCTGGTTGTGCAAGTATAGGAGGCGCTACCCCCTCAAGCGGACAGCAGCTACGCAAGTCCCAGTCAGTCTACGCCTCCCCGTTTACGCAAACGTCGTCTGGCACGCGCAACAAATTACGCAAAAGGGCGCGCCCCGAGGGTACCCCAGTTTCTGCGTATGTGCAGTACCCGATCCTGGATCTGCCTCCTGGCATCGAGCAGATTGGAAATGGGATCGGGTATATGCGACGAGCAACGCCAGTGCATGCGCGCCTGTCCATGTCCACGCTGACGCCGCGGGCGTGCCACGGTTTCTTTGCCGGCGGTCGATTCTCCGGTATGACGCCCCGAAAGAAGACTGGGAGCGGGGAGCGCCTCGAGAGCGCTGGCGGGGGCGTGGCGGTGATGGACTGCGCAAACGACAGCGAGGACCAGATGGACGCGGTGATGCACGAGATGTACGGCAGCCGGTGGAACCTTGGCCTATCCGCGAGCGAGCTCTCGCATGCGGGCGGGGCGCACCCGCGCGTATATTCGGCGTTGTCGAGGACGAGCGTGGGCCTAGGCCTAGGTGAAGGCGCACTGGATATGACGAGAGGCGGGGGAATGCCCATGCCGTCTGCGGAGATGTCGATGCTCGGTCCTGACAGCACTCTTCGATTGGTCTCACCTTCAACGTACTTGCATGGCACGGAATACTGCTAGCTCTGGGACTGTTCCTCCTTGTCTGGCTCTCTGGGACTTGACTCTGGGACGCGAATTCAAGAATCGCTCGGCTGTTGGCTGGTTTCTATCTTGAGCTCATTCCCATTCGCGGTTCCAAGCTTCCGGTATCTCGTTATTCACCCGCCTGGTCGATGGAACACAATAGGTTTTTCGGGCTCCTCTCTCTCACTGTGTTGGCCTTTATTGTTGTTTTCTATGATATCTTTGCACGGTCTGTTCTCTTTCATTTGCATTGTGCCATGTTAAGTTTTGTAACGCCGTAGAGGAAATATACTTTCCGATTGTTGTCCATATCAGAGTTGTACCTAAAAATGATGCAAAGGTGGCCTGTCAAAGAACCTTGCTTGGCTGACCTTGCTCTCGACCGTGTAATACTGGTAAATTGTGGCCATAACTACGCCACTCCTATCTGGAATCTTGCAAAGTCCGCCTCCCACCAGAGTCTGAGCGTACATTGGACTGTTTAGACATTTGCTATTCCCGTCTTCAGGTACCCGAGTCCTGACATATTCGAGAAGAGTCCCCACCAATGGATAACGAATCGAACAAGGAAATTTTCATCGTGAGCAAGGACGGCATAGACCGTATGTTCTATATCCTGTCTTCCATCTTTTCCATCTTCCATCCACATCTTGATACCCGGTGCTGACTAGCGCACCGCAGAGCATGCCCACATCTTGGAGCGCCGAGCACAGGAGGTGTACGTGCATTATGTAAATATGGACAAGAGGCTCGACGAATGGATACCCACGAGCGCCGTGCGACCTTCCACATCCCACGAGGCCACCATGACGAGCAATGGAACGACGCGCAAGAGGAAGAGGGGGTCCACGAATGGGGAGAACTCGGCCAGTGCGAACGGCATGGCCTCGCCTGGCCCTTCCGACGCGAGGGCAGGGTCGGCGAGCCAGGACCCTGGCGCGCAGCCTATCACGGAGGAGGAGTACGACATTGAACATCATAAGCAGATCACCGCAAAAAGGAACTTTGACCAGGTCATTTTTGGACGATGGCAGATCAAGACGTGGTGAGTGTTTTCTACACGCTAGCAATGGTGCGGCGGTCTGGCTCAGCCTGGACTCAGGTACTTCTCGCCCTATCCGCTCACCGAAACGGAGGTGGACGACCTATTCGCGACGCCCAGCTCGCATGGCCCCTCCTCAGGCTCTCGCATCCCAGGCGTCAGCAGGGCGTCCATCCGCTCACATGGGCGAACATCAGATTTGCTCGCTGGAGGGCTGGGGCGCAACAGCGGTGCTGGCGAGAAGGCTATGTTGTGGGTGTGCGACAGATGCTTCAAGTACATGGCAGAAGGGCTGTCTTGGGAATTGCATATGGTGCGTTCGGGTCCTCGACTCCCGTGAAGAAGAACGCAGACAGATGCCAGATGCCTTAGAAAAAGTGTACCCGTAAAAACCCACCAGGTCGTAAGGTCTACCAGCGCGGTGCACACATAATCTGGGAGGTAGATGGGGCCAAGGACAAGGTGCGCATGCAACTTTTACGGACGCTCTCCGTCGTGCTACTAACTCGCGAATCAAGTTATATTGCCAGAACCTTTCGCTGTTTGGCAAGCTCTTCATCGATATTAAGACGCTCTTCTTCGACTGTGACAACTGTGGGTGGATGTTTACCATTTCCTGACTACAGGGCTCTAATGCCCGCAGCTGCACGCACGCAGTCCTCTTCTACATCCTTACAGATGCGGACTCCCAGCGTGACCATGTCCTGGGATTCTTCTCGAAGGTACGGCCATATAACGGTCATGAAGGCAACCTGCCAGCTGATACTCATCTCCGCTGCAGGAGAAGATATCCTACGACGACTACAACCTCGCATGCATCGTCGTACTTCCGCCTTATCAGAGGAAGGGCTATGGCATGCTCATGATAGAGTTTAGTATGTCGCTAGCATTGCACGGATGCACCTCGCCCCTCATGCTCTTCCACACCAGGCTACGAGCTCTCGCGCCGCGCAGGACGCATCGGCACGCCAGAACGTCCCCTATCAGATCTCGGGCTCCGGAGCTACCTCACGTACTGGGTGTCCACACTGATCAGGTTCTTCCGGTGCGTCTGTGGTCACATGTGTGCCATGCCCGAGGCTGACAGATCCACCGCGTACGGCCGCAGACGGCTGCTGTCTGTGCTGCCGCCGGATGCATCTAAGATGATTACGACGGGCGGCGGTGTGCCAGACCTCGCACAGGCACACCTGCTATCGCCGACAGCAGAGTCGGAAGACGGTATGGGCCCGAAGATGAAGCGGCGCAAGAGCACGAAGGGATGGGACGGCGAAGAGCTCCCGGCTACGAAGACACGTCCCGCGGAGCCGCACGATGATGCCGGTACGTCTCCGTTTGCCGCAGGCCAGTTGATGTCTGCTGCTGCGACATGTCCCCGAGCACACTGGTAACGGATACGACTGCAGACCCGATGTTCACGTCCCTGCGCACAGTCGAGACGACGCCAAACGCGGACGGCAGCGCGACCGCGCACGTCGTGGTGCAGTGCACGCTCGCGGACATTGCGCGCGCGACGAACCTGCGCGTGGACGACACGGCCTTCGCGCTGAACGAGTGTGGGCTGCTGTTGCGGCGGCAGAAGGCGGACGGCAACACGGAAGAAGTCGTGCTAGTTTCCAGGGAGATGGTGGAGACGGTGTCAAGGGAGAGGAATGTAAAGAAGATGTGCATGAGCTTGGCACATGTGCTCTTGTAGGTACGACGGAGCTCGGATCGGTGCCTCTGCACTGTATGAATGTACTTACTGCGACTGTCTTGTCTTTCCCCGTCGTTCATCACATCACGAATATACCTTGTTACACCTTATCCTATTTGTAAAAGCTAAAAGTGTGATGGGCGCGATGGCGAAATCCCGTCTATTGAATGGCTGGCGGGCCGCGTTGCATCTTTCATTCAGTATGCTCAGAGGCTGGATCCGCACCGATGAGTGCCCTCAACGCCCACACATTTCACAATCATGAATCAGGTCTCAATCTGCGGCAACAAGACGGCACTAGTGCATGAGACATTCCGGAGCATGCCATGCCTTCACAGCTGATTAGGTCTTGTTCCATTTAACAAGGGCGAAACATCGGATCATGACCAAAGAGATGACATGCAAGCATGGGCCTGGCGTATGGATAGAGAGTATGCATGGCATAGGATACAGAATGGCGTGCCAGGGCGTAGGCGGCAGCGGTGGGAAGGGGATGATAGCGTTTACTCTTGGACAGGGGCATCGTGCTCCACAGCAAGAATCGCCTGCCTCTTCTCCAACACACGCTGTGCCCGGCGCTCGCGAGCAGCCTTGAAACAGTGTCAGTAGGCAGTTTGCGGGGTACAAGCCCCAACCGAGACGAACCTTGTTCTTGACGCGGCGGGCCTCCATCTGGTCGGTGAGAACTTTTGTACGAGTCTTCTCGGCCTTGGCCTTGTGAATGTACTCCATGAGCACACGCTTGTTCTTGAAGACGTTACCCTTCGACTTCTGGTACAGCGAGTGGTACCTGAGTGCGACTGAGCTCGCACCAAACCTGGACGGGCAGGGGTAAAGGAAACGCACAGGTGCTTATCGATCTTGCCCGCCTCCCTGTACTTCCTCAACAACCGACGCAGGACCCGCTGTCTCCGCATCCACACGACCTTGCTGGGCATCCGGGCCTCAGCAGTACCCTGTCTCTTACCGGGACCGGTGTGACGACCCTTGCGCTTCGCGGCGAGGAGGTCGCGCGTGCGGGCGCGCGAGTGGACGGTGGTGGGCTTGATGATGATGCGGCCGTCCTTGATGAGTTTCTTGACGTGCGTGCGGGAGTTGGCGTTGCCGATCTCGGCCTGCTCGCTGGGGTCGAGCCAGATTTTGCGCTTGCCCACGCTTGCGACCGAAGCGGCGAGGCGCTTTTGGGAGCGGAGGTTCACCATGGCGTCTGGGGGCAGCAGGGCGGTCAGCGGCTGGGACAGAGGGCACGGCGAGGACGCCGGGCGAGGCGGCGGCGGCACTTACCTTGGTCTTGAGGAGGAGCGTTGAGGAGGGACGATGGCTTGCTCAGCGCGTGGATGGGATCCGCTTACGTGAGACAAGCCTTCCGGCGCGTGCCGAAACCTTAAATGCAAAACTGGGCAGGTCCGGCTCACCGGTGCGCCACCGCGCTCGGTCTGTTTGTCTCTGCGAAGTTCTGAGCTCAGTCGGCCGCTGCAGCATGCTCTCCGCGTTCCATTCCATGCGGACAGCCATCGACAATATTTTCATGCCCGATCGACCGATTGCCATGAGCTTGCGCCTTGAGGCGCTCATCTCAGAATATGTATGTTATTCTGCACAGCACTCTGCGCCGGTCGGTCAATGCAGCATCGGACTTTTCATCTCGGTGGCTCTCGTCCGTCATCTGGAGCCAGGGGTGGAGGGTGGACACCGCTGCTTCGAAGACTCGGATGGACTGGAAGGCACCAGGACCACGCCCGGCTCCGACCACGCCGAAGACGGTCACGGGCACGCGGGCTTCTTTTGTTAGGCTAGCACAGCGGCCAGCCTGCTCGTTCCGCGTTTGTGGTGCTGTCATCTATTCTTGCTGGGCGTGTCGGAATGACGAGAGCGCCATGATGCGACCGCATAGTGGCGACGGGGCGCCTGGTCGCTGCGATCTCGGGTAGGGGCATGACATCAACATTCCGGTGTAGGCGGTGATAGAACGTGATTGGGTTGAGGTAACGCTGCGGATGAGAAAGAGCAGAGGACGTGCCCGTAGCGAAAACCGCGCCCTTATCTCGGGAGGCTGGCAAGACAGAGGCGTGCTTCGCTGGATCATTCTGCCCATGAGACGTCTTAGTGGGAGATGAAGGCTTCTATCAGAGATTCGGATTCGCTGAACGGTTTGCCCTGTGCTCGCGGCCTCGTGTGTGCCCGTTGTGCGCTGTATTACGATATTCGATCCTATTCGTCTAATTTACCGCGGCGGCGAGCGGCGGGCCCATCGACGGACGGAGCGAAGATAAAGCTGAGCCCGGCGTTTGGCTGTGGCTGCTTACATAAGCGCTACAAATACACGGCGGTGGCGTCGACTCGCCTTGCTCCGGTTCAAATCTCGTCGCTGCTTTCTTCTCCTCCGCCCTCAGCATCCTTTCCCTCTTCTTCCAGCCGTTTCCCAACGGCACCAGCGAGGGGTTCTTCCCACTCGCGCCCCTCGCAGACCCTTCCCCAGCGACCTCCGGTTCCCCCATCTGCGCCTTTCCAACGTGTCTGCAGCCATGAATTCCCAATAAACGTCTCCCCTCACCACGACTTTCCGACCCCCAACTTTCATCACACATTGCTCCAGCACACGTTTCGCGTTGTCCCAAGACCCATCCACCTTAACGACCACACCACTTCTCCTAATTCCTGCCATGCTCGCCGTAGTCGACGCCGCAGAGACCGCGCAAACAGAAGGCGAGGGTCCGGACGGGTCAGATAAACCGCCGCATGGTGGTATATCCTCCGTCACTCCCGCATCTAAGCACACTCCATACGCCGCCAAACCACGAGCCAACGGGGCCAAGTCCCCCCGTCCGTCCTCCATGCAGGCGATGCCACCCGCATCCGGCGGTAAGCCTGCCGCCCACAATGGTCATCATATTCCCCTTCCCCCTCCAGATGCCCACACTTATCAGAAGGCACCAGGGCACACCAGAAAGAGCCTTGAGGAACTGTACGTGAACGAGAAGCTCGCCATGGACGCTCCACAGATCAAGCGCGATTCGTCGTCGACCACCGGCTCGATGACGCCGCCCTCGAGCGACTCTCTCTCCGCCTCCGAATGCGAGAGCTGGAGCGTTCCCTCGACCCAGCCGCCCAGCAGAGCGCAGAGCATGTCCGCTGGTGTCTCAGGAGGGAAGCTTAGCGCTGCGTTACAGCCTTTCACAAAGACACCTTCCCTTTCCAAGACGCCTTCCAAGAAGGAGCCCAAGCCACAGCCGCCTCCGTCGACTGCACTGCGGATATCTCCCGCCTCGTCGACCGGCACTCCGGAGACCACTCCTACTGCTACGGCCCGTCCGAGCCAGTCGGCTTCTAGGCCACCGTCCAGACCTCCATCAAGGCCCCCGTCCGTAAAATCGCAGGACGGCGGGCAGAAGTTCACGCTGAAGGATCTGCTCACAACTCCGCTCAGCCGCAAGTCGTCCGCGCGTTCTGTTGGTAGCAGCCGCAAGTCGGACTCAGATCGTGACGCAAAGTCAACAACTGGAGAAAGCACAATAAGCCTGCTGAAGAAATACGGCGTCTGCGAGAAGGTGGCCATTGGCAAGGGCGCTACGTCTGTGGTCCGCCTTGCGCATAAGTGGGATCGTTCGGAGGAAAAGCTCTACGCTGTCAAGGTGAGCGCTGGTCGTCGGTGTCTGTTGGTCCCTATGCTGACGCGGCCGATCGCAGGAATTCCGGAAACGGAGAAAGAACGAGACGGAGAAAGAGTACGTCAAGAAGCTCACTGCCGAGTTCTGCATCTCGTCAACGCTGCATCACGTCAACATCGTCGAGACCGTCGATCTCGTCCAGGACGAGAATCAGCACTGGTGCGAAGTCATGGAGTTCTGCCCAGGCGGAGACCTCTACGCAGCGATCAAGCGAGGGGGCATGTCGCCGAGCGAGGTCGAGTGCTGCTTCAAGCAGATCTTGACCGGCGTGCACTATCTTCACAGCCAAGGTGTTGCCCATCGTGACATCAAGCCTGAGAATCTGTTCTTCGACACGAAGGGCCACCTGAAGGTATGTCCTCTTGGGAATTATTTTCCCTCTTGCTGACGATGCCCAAGATTGGTGACTATGGCGCATCGACCGTGTACCGACTCCCGTGGGAGACGACGGTACACATGTCTACTGGGTTGTGTGGCAGTGAACCTTACATTGCTCCAGAGCAATTTTTGGGCAAACGTAAGCAAACGGATTTGCATCCCTTGCTCCTGTGCCTAATATTGGGCACGTAGCCTACGACGCCCGCCTAGTCGATATCTGGGCCTGTGGTGTTGTGTATTACTGTCTCCACTTCCAAGAACTCCCGTGGACGGTCGCCCAGTCAACGGACCAGCTCTTCGCTGCGTATGTGTCTGCCTGCCAGACGCAGTCGTCATGCCCGCCAACGATCAACAACTTGTCGCCGCGCGCGTGTCGGCCTGTCATCCGGCGGATGCTGGAGCCCAACCCGAAGCAACGCGCGATGATCGACGAGCTCGTCGAGCACTCGTGGGTGAAGAGCATCGAAGTCTGCCACGCGGTGCCGAAGCCATCACACGTGCATGTAAACGCGGCCGCGATGGCGCAGGCCCAGGTGCAGGTCATGCCGTGAACGTGCACGGGAGTCCGTAGGGTCCTATGCTGTGGTTTTCTCCATTCCATACCTCTCCGTTCACGGACACGATTCGCCCGCGGTTTATTTTGTTGAGCCCCGTTCTTGGACCGGCGCCCATATCCATGCTTCTCACGCGCTGCTTCCTTCGATGCATGATGACCATTTGTAGATGTACTATTCGCTTAGTCGACGACTCCTCGGGGACGAGGAGGCGTTGTGTGTGCTTCTCTATTTGAGCAATCTGATTAACGTTCACGGCCAGTGCATTCTGTCCGCGAGGCACACAGCATTGTAGCCAATAGCCTCGTTAACTTATCCATGTACTACTGTAATCTAGTCAATAGTTTGATGATACCATGCCACACTAAGTTCCACTTATGTCAGATCATCTTATCTAATCTATGCTAAACGCTTCTGCCTTGAAGGTAAATTACGGGTGACTCGCACAATAGCTATAGCCATTTTGTTGAGTTGGAAGGTATATTGCACGTCAAGTCTCAATGTATTACATAGTTCTGCAGGGGTTGAACCGTTGGCGTTCAGTATCGGTTGTTTGTGCATGTTAGGCTGCAGCCTCTGATCCTAATAAAGCCAAATAACGAACCCGAGAATGCCAAACTAAGTTGAGTGGCGGTAGCTGTGCACCAAGCAATGTCGGCCAATCTAGACGTGAGCTCTCCTCATGTTCATGTGCTTTACAAGCTGACGGGATTATAAAAGCGCGCAATTGAGATAGTACAGCGAGCGATAGAGGATGATCAAAAGCAAAACTACGACGCAGCATACAAACAATATCAGAATGCACTCGATTACTTCATGCTTGCGCTGAAATGTGCGTGTTCGCATCAATTAACCACGTTGTGGTGTTGACACCCATGTAGACGAGAAGAATGAGAAGTCCAAGCTGCTCATTCGCTCGAAAGTCAATGAGTACCTGGCGCGCGCGGAGACGTTGAAAGACCACCTATCTCAATCACAAGAGAAGCGCGCGAGAAAGGCTCTCGGAGCCAATGGCATGAACGGAGGCGCAGCTGGAGGCGGGAAGAAGTGAGTCTTGCAATCCCCGTGCAAGCATACTGAAGGAAGTCAGCTGGAATCGGCACATTGTCATAGGAAAGACGGAGACGATGACGACGTCGATCCCGAAGTGAAGAAGTTGCGAGCTGGCCTCGCAGGTGCGATTATCTCGGAGAAGCCGAACGTCAAGTGGGATGACGTCGCCGGTCTGGAGGCGGCGAAGGAGTCGCTGAAGGAGGCGGTGATCTTGCCCATCAAGTTCCCGCATCTGTTCACGGGCAAGCGGACGCCATGGCGCGGTATACTGCTTTATGGACCACCGGGAACTGGAAAGTCGTACCTCGCAAAGGCGGTCGCGACCGAGGCGAAGGGCACGTTCTTCAGTGTCAGCTCGAGTGATCTGGTGAGCAAATGGCAAGGCGACTCTGAACGGTGAGTCGCACGGCTCGCATCCGACATGCGACAGCTGTTGACTTTGGGTAGGCTTGTGCGACAGCTGTTCGAGATGGCGCGTGAAAACAAGCCAGCAATCATCTTCATTGACGAGGTTGACTCGCTCGCGGGTTCACGAAACGAGCAAGAGTCGGAGGGCTCACGGCGGATTAAGACCGAGTTCCTTGTGCAGATGAACGGTGTAGGTCACGATGATACAGGTGTCCTTGTTCTCGGGGCCACAAATATTCCCTGGCAGTTAGACAACGCTATCAAGCGGAGGTATGCTACAAGTTGAAAATCGATTCAACCTTGATTCTCATCGGTCTACAGATTCGAGAAGCGAATCTATATACCACTTCCTGGTACGGAGGCGAGACGACGGATGTTCCAGTTGCACGTCGGTGATACCCCATGCGAACTGACGGTCAAGGATTATCGTCTTTTGGCGGAGAAGACAGAGGGGTACGTACGCTTGCAACGTTTATGCTCTATCACACATTTTGACAGAGCACATTGTCAGCTACTCGGGGTCGGATATATCTGTTGTCGTACGGGACGCACTCATGCAGCCGGTCCGCAAGGTTCTCTCCGCTACGCACTTCAAGCAAATGCCTTCGCTCTCGGATCCGTCTGTCATGATGTGGACACCATGCTCACCTGGCGATCCGGAAGCGGTAGAGAAGTCGTGGTCAGAGGTCGAGAGCGACGACCTACTGGAGCCGCCACTGAAGTTGGCAGACTTTTTGAAGTCGCTTGACAGCGTGCGCCCAACAGTGACTGCAGATGACATCAAGAGGCATGACCAGTGGACAATGGAGTCGGGTGAGTTGCCTTCAACGACTACGGGGTGAAAATGGCATACTGATGACTGGACATAGGCAATGAAGGAGCATAGGGAATGTGGAATATTGTATCACTAGGTATTATATCTGATTGTACACAATTATCAATCGCGTTTATGGTGTAAGGTTGCTAGCGAAGTATGCTTGAATGAGCTTTTGTGCTATTGGGTCCTTAACCGTACGGGTCTACTGGTATGACCTAAAGGATGACATCGATGAACACCGAAATATCATAGCGTCGGAAGAACTGACGAATCAATGAGCTGGGGGTATTTATTGCAACTGCGACTCTTTTGATACATACCATCATCGAGGTCTAGTACTCCTCCATTGAGCTCGTCATTAATTTATGAGCGATATAGATGCTCTAGGTCATGACAATGACAATTGACCATAATATATTGAAGAGCGCTTTAGTTCATCCAATGAGACACCAGCTGCGTGAGGTGGAAGTCTCCAAGTTGAGTAACTCGGCCAGAGCACGGAATAATGGTGCCTAATCACTCAATTACGCTAGGACGTCAAAGCTGTGCTCTGATCTGTCGAACAGAATATTTCCGATACTACAAGGGTACTACGGCAGGGGGTGTTCATGCCTGAGCACCAAACAATCGTAGCCTAGATATCCCTTGCAGAAAGAAAAGTCAAGCATGACGCCCGCATCCTACTCGAAAGCTGTCGTTGCAAGGACCCTGAAGGCATTTAGTTGTACACATTCGTAAACATAGCCAAGGACCCTAAGTTCTACCGGAGATCCGGAGATCCAACAGCAGCGAAACCGGCGATATAGGCTGCTATAGCTTCTCGATTCTATTCACATGAACCTACCCAAGGCATAGATATCAGCTGTCATTGGTTGGCAAGCCACCGCTAGCACATCCCCTGGGCTGTTGCGGATATCGGGGAGACCCTCGATTGGACGCTGTAATAAGTCGTGGTCTAACTTACGGGCGGCCTGCACTGTGGATTGCGGTGTCAGCAGTAAATCCTCAGACCAGTTTGCTGAGAATGGTCTTTCACCTTCAATCTCGTAAACAGTCACACACGTCACTTATCATCTACATCAAGGTATCCGTTCTACAAACACCCTTGGTACACTTACTGTGCCAGGATATGTGAGCCACATAGCGTAGCGGAACTCCAGGGGTCTAATTCATATCGTAATACCTGCATGTTGCATGGTAATCATTGTCAGCATGGGTCACGGTTTCAAGCAAAAGAGGGCATCAGTCATAAATATCGGGATATAATACACACGAGGACGTCTCATCCGCATTAATACCAGGGCTGCCTCACTCGTCCAGTTTCCACTTATTCTCCTTGATCAGCCGTTCTCGTTCCAGAAGGTACTTCCCTGAGTAGACTTTGATCTGAGCATATGATGCATTCTTATATGTCAGACACGCACCTTCCTTGTATTTCTGTGTGTTATCGGACGCTTTGTGATAATACCATCCTAAGCGATCGTTGCAGCCGACACAGAAAACGTCTGCCACCGTATGAACACCCGTGCTAGCACGCCCATGTTAAATGGAGTCGGCACTGAATGACCACGGAACACACAGTAGGGAGCGGTCTTCTTTCTTTCCCATCTTTACATTGACGGCCGAATACATGAGGCTGCACACATCCGAGTGGAAGCGAGGACCACTTCTGGGACAATGTACTTACTATCCACGTCCGTCTCTTCCAGAGAATGCTTTACTAATAAGTTCGTCTTGCAGAGCCTATGTAATAGTTGTGTGTCAGTCTGGTGATGTATGCCAAAGTTATTTTACAGTCACTAACAATGACCGCAGAGCAATTCGAACACGAGAAAATAGGGCGATCCTGGAAGACCGCGACGGGAGATTCTGTTGTGTTCAGAGTTGATGAGCCTGACATAGTTCCCAACAATTCGCCCTGCTGCGCAGGATCTGGTTGAGCGGTGGGACTGCTACATCGACTCAAAATGGTGTGAAGATGGTGGCGAGATCCAAGATCGGACGCATCAGTCAATGCCCCTAACCTAAGCATTAAATACTCGATCAGGCCCGATCAATGCACGTTCCCCTGAAATACCATTTTACTAACTCAGTTCTATCTTGCTACCTCTTTCAGCTCACACAACATTTACTGCTGACATGAGTGTCTCTTCTGAGGATATTGCAGAAGAAATCCGCGAGAGTCTCCCTGGCACAGAAGAGATTGTCGTCCAATATGTCTCTGGCTACCTTACGGAACTGGATGATTCTGCCGAAGACGAGGACGTCCTACAAATCACGCGCGATATACTGGAGTCTGCCATACCTTCCTCATCGCGCAAGGGGCAGCATGTTCAGCTAGAGAAAGTCATGAAGGCTCTCAGCCGTATGCTGGAGGAGCCTCTGAGTAAACGAGACGAGAAGAACCGTGCAGGAAGGACGAACGGTCTTGTCCGACTGGACAAAGTGATGCACATGAGCAAGACTGGCGTTATGAGCAGTACGATTGCCTTCGCGGAAGGTGTTGATTTAGAGAGCATAAATAAGGGAAAGTGAGTCGTATTGGCAGACTGGGAGAGGCATTTCACTAAGCTAGCACGCAGAGCATCGCGAGTGGATGTGAAGAAGCTCGAGAAACAAGAGGCAAAGTTGAAGGTGCGCCTGGCCAATGGATTCGGACTGTTGCTTGTTGAACTAGTACCTGTAGGCAAAAATAGAGAAGCGATCCAAGAGAACCCTCTACGAAGGCTCCAAGCTCCTGAACCAGCATCGCAAACAGGTCCGTCGTAGATCCTTTTAACTTATTTCACCTGCTAACGGTATCGTAATAACAGCAATCGTACGAAGAGATGTTCATGAAGATCAACCCACTGGATGCAGTGTCAGCGAAGAACAAATCCAAAGACATCCACTTGGCAAATATCGACGTGAACTTTGGGTCCAACCGTATTCTGTCCGTATCCACTGTGTGCTTCTCGGACGACTGGATGTCTGACGTCCATCAACAGCTCTGGCGCATCACTAACGCTTGCGTATGGCCGTCGTTACGGCCTGATTGGTCGCAATGGTGTTGGAAAGTCGACATTGCTGCGGCATATCGCTATGCGTGACGTGCCGATTCCGTCCCACATCACGATTCTGTTCGTGGAACAGGAGGTATATTGTTTGGTTTATGATAAAAGGTAAAACGCGGCTAAGATTGGTTCTTAAGATTGTTGGCGATGACACTACAGCGCTTGAATCAGTTTTGAAGGCTGATGTTTGGCGTGACATCCTAATGCGCGAAGAGGCCGAGTTGAATGCCAAACTTGCTGATTTGGAAGCGGAGGGCGATGATAAACGGTTCGAGGATGCGCGCGAGGAGGCACAGACTCGTCTCACCGAAGTTCATACTCGATTAGCAGAAATGGAAGCTGAGAGTGGACCTGCGAGAGCATCAGCACTGCTGGCAGGTGCGTTGTCCCCTCCAGCATAGCAGCGCACAACGCTAACATCGCGTATCACCAGGTTTGGGATTCAGCGAAATAGATCAACAACGGCCGACCAAGGCATTCAGTGGAGGCTGGAGGATGAGACTTGCGCTCGCACGAGCGCTGTTCGTGAAGGTTGGAATCTCATAAAGCTCCTATCTCGATGAATGCTCATATTGCCATGTGTGTAGCCTGCGCTGCTTTTGCTCGATGAGCCTTCAAATCACAGTATGACTGTCGCTTCGTGAAGCAGGCAGATATTGACCGGTCATTTGCACAGTCGACTTGAACGCTCTCGCGTGGTTGGAAGACTATCTGCAAACATGGCCTGGCACGCTGCTTGTCGTGTAAGTTCAAATAGCATCTCATGCGTTCCCTATTCACATTGTCCGCAGATCGCACGACCGTGCATTCCTGTAAGTGAGCTCTGATGATTCTCGCACAATTCACTGAGACGTTGTAATCGCAGCGATGCTGTTGCCACTGACATTGTACATATGCACTCGGGCCGCCTTGACTACTACAAAGGGTTGGTAAAACAATATCGGTGTATTTATCGGACGCTCATTGCATGCGAACAGAAACTTCACACAGTTCTACTCCACCAAGTCTGAGCGCGATCGCAACTTGCGGAAGGAATACGAGACACAGATGGAGTACCGCAGACATCTCCAGGCCTTTATCGACAGATGGCGATACAACGCAAACCGTGCTGCGCAAGCACAGTCAAAGATCAAAATCTTGGAAAAGGTAGATTGTTGTCTTGTGAGCAACGACAATGCAGGCTGAAAGCGTGATGTAAAATTCTCCCAGCTTCCCGAGTTGCATCCGCCAGATGTCGAGGAGACGGAGACGTTCAAGTTCCCGGATACGGAGAAGATATCTCCCCCGGTGCTTCAGCTCAACGAGGCGTCCTTCGGTTACGTGCCTGAAAAGATCCTCCTGAAGGGGATCAACATCGATGTCGGCCTTGAGTCGCGAATCGCGATAGTTGGACCGAACGGTGCCGGGAAGTCTACATTGTACGTACAGCTCATATCAGTGCCATCCACACCATTGAGACGTTGGCTCACAAAAAAATCCAGGATCAAATTGTTGACTGGCGAGCTGAAACCATTGGCAGGGCACGTCAGTCAGAATGGCCGACTGAGGATGTGCGTGCATTATAGCGTCAGGGGAGCATGCTCTAACGTCTGCCTGCAGAGGATACTTCGCGCAACATCATGTCGATACGCTCAACCCTAGTCTGAACCCCGTCCAATTCCTCGCTTCCAGGTTCCCCGGAAAGACAGAGCAGGAGTACCGTTCGCATTTGGGTAATTTCCAGATCAGCGGGATGACAGGGTTGGTGTCGTCTTCTCACGAGACATTCTACATCTTGTCCATCCACTAACGAGTATCGTCTATGACAGCTTGCAACTCATCGGCACGCTGAGTGGAGGTCAGAAGTCTCGTGTAGCATTCGCGTTGCTTTCGCTGCAGAGACCGCATGTCTTGCTACTTGACGAGGTCGGTTTGTTCCTGATGTAACGGTTGTTGACTGAGACTCATTCCATCTACTCAAGCCCACTAACCATCTGGATATTGAGGCAAGTAATATGTTTTCACTCTATGGGTAGTCCGCTGACAGCACCGATGTATAGGGTCTCGATGCGCTGATGGCCGCGCTTAGCGCCTGGAATGGAGGTGTTATTCTCATCTCCCACGACGAACGCTTCATAACTACTGTTGCGAAGGAGGTACGCATGATATTGTCTCGATTTGCAACTCGCCATTCACCTCTCGCGCAGTTGTGGGTGTGCACAGATGGGTCGGTGATGAAGTTTAAGGGTGATGTGCAAGCCTACAAGGTACGTCCCAAGATTGTATCTCTCCCAGGAATATAGCTCAAGTCTGGTTTACAGAGTCTCATTGTCAGCAATATCAAGGCTCGTCCATGATAGTCGTTACTATTGATACTACCAGTATTGGATTCACTGTAGCGATTCGCATTGTAGTGATAAATTTCCGGATTGTCCTCGGCCGACTTCAGCGTCTGTGCAGAGGAACACGGTCTGCATCAAACCTGAGCTAAGAGAACAGTCTCGAAACAGCCTCCTTAACGCAAGGTCAGGGGCTTGCTCCTTCAATGAACGGCAAAATGCCTGGAGGCGAGTTTTGCGGAATGCAACAACTTTAATCGCGCGTGCGAGAGGCATCCGGGAATGATCTACGTGGGGCATACATACTCAGCATCGAAGGTTACAAATCTTTATCTTTAGATGAATTTCGGGGGAAACTACCTGCCATACTACATGGTGGCGTATTTGCCGTAGTGCGATCGCATGTGCTCATGGCCAAAAAATGATATATTTGACTATAACACTGTCCCTATATGGGCCATGCACTGCCAGTGCCGCCACACGGGCGATCGATCACGTGCGTGACGCGACCTGTGTTGAACGCGGTTCATTGTAACGCGCCTTTACCCTCACCGCGACCATCTCCGTGGCGTTCACGCTCGCAAAAATGAGCTCTTCTGAGGAAAACTTTGACATAGAGGTGTCTGGCTCTGGTTCAGAGTCGGAGGACTACGCCCCCGCCCCAAAGAAAACGACTAAAGCCACGAAAGCGAAGCCGGCCGTGAAAGCCACGAAGGCCCCGGTGAAACCCAAGGCGACCAAGAAGAGGGTGCTCGCGGATCGAGATGACAACGCAGACTCAGATGATGAGATGCGTGACGACTTCGACGATGAAGGCGCGGGTCCAAGTGCCCCGGTCGCGGGCGCGGCTGCTAAGAAGAAGACTGCTTCAGAAACCTACACAAAGGTTCGCGCGCAATGATTATATATTTGTGACGCGTCTTATGATGCAATATAGCTGTCACAACTGGAGCACATTCTAAAACGACCAGATTCGTACATTGGGAGCGTTGAGACGATCACGCAGCCTATGTGGGCTTGGGATTCGGAGCGGAAGCTCATGGTCTATCGAGAGATCAAGTATGTTCCTGGATTCTTCAAGATCGTGGACGAAATTCTAGTCAATGCCGCGGATAATAAGGTATGTTTGTCGTATATGTACGTGGTTTCGGACTCGCAGTACTACTTTGGTCTCCCTCGATGCTCACCATAGGCGGCCAGTTAGGCGGCGAGTGGGGTGGGGAGACTTCCCATCTGGCCCATTTCAGAAGTTCCCATCATCACGTTGTGTACATGCTGTGGTAGGCGCATATATTGACCATCTGGTTTTCTAGATCAATGATTTGAGCATGGATACCATTAAGGTCACTATCGATGCTGAGAACAATCTCATCTCCGTCTATAACAATGGTCGTGGCATACCCATCGAGATGCACTCGAAGGAGAAAATCTACATCCCGGAGCTCATTTTCGGCCATCTGCTGTCCTCTTCGAACTACGACGACGACGAGAAGAAGCTTACGGGTGGCCGTAATGGTTATGGTGCTAAACTGGCGAATATCTACTCCGTCGAGTTCACGATCGATACGGCAGACAAGAACTCGGGTCAGAAGTACGTGCAGACGTGGACGGACAACATGAGCAAGATGGGTAAAGCTAAGATCACGAAGAACGGACGCGGAGAGGAGTACACGCGTGTCACCTTCCGACCAGACCTGAAGCGTTTTGGCATGGACCGCATCGACGAGGATACTGTTGCATTGCTGAAAAAACGCGTGCACGATCTGGCGGGAACCGTAAGGGACGTCAAAGTCTATCTGAACGACGAACGCCTGAAGACGAAGAATTTCAAGCAGTATGTTGAGCTCTACCTCAACTCAGCAGCGGAGCTTGCCGCAGACGCATCTGGTGGGGCAGCTCAAGTGAAGCCGACCATGATCTACGAGCAAATTGGTCCACGCTGGGAGGTCGCCTTTGCGGTCTCAGACGGTACTTTCCAGCAGGTCTCTTTCGCTAATTCGATATCTACCGTGAAGGGAGGAACCCATGTTCAACTTGTTGCGGACCAGATTGCGAAGAATCTCATCGCTTCGATCACGAAGAAGAACAAGGGTGCCACGGTTAAGCCAGCCCAGATCAAGAACCACATGTGGATCTTCGTCAACGCGCTCATCGAAAACCCAACCTTCGACAGTCAGACTAAGGAGACGCTGACCCTTCCTACGAGCAAGTTTGGGACGAAACCCGTGCTTTCGGACGAGTTCATGAAAAAAGGTATTTACAGGCGGGGGATTTGGCTCTCAGAAAGGTGCTAAGACCGTTATACATAGTGCAAAAATCGTCCATCGTAGAACATGTGCTCAACTGGGCGAAGTTCAAAGCTGACCAACAGCTCAAGAAGACGGATGGGAGCAGCAGGCGGAATAGGTTTGTCTTTCATACATCTTCGAATGGCTGTAGCTCAAGCTTGCTTTAGGCTGTCAGGTCTCCCCAAACTGTCGGATGCGAACAACGCGGGTACGAAGAAGGCAATCGATTGTACGCTGATTCTGACGGAAGGAGATTCCGCAAAGTCTTTGGCCGTTGCTGGTTTGGGTGTAGTCGGGCGCGACAATTACGGCGTATTTCCTTTGCGCGGCAAACTGTTGAACGTACGAGATGCAAAGCATGACCAGATCATGAAGAACGAAGAGATACAGAACATCAAGAAAATTCTGGGTTTGCAGCACAACAAGGAATACAGGGATCTCAATGGCCTGCGTTACGGTCGGCTAATGATAATGACCGATCAGGTAGGGGAGCCATGTCGTCAGCTGGGAACTACTCTAAATACGTCTTACCTCTAGGACCATGATGGGTCGCACATCAAGGGACTATTGATCAATTACCTCGACCACTTTTATCCTTCGCTGCTGAAGATCCCGAGGTTCCTCGTGGAGTTCATCACGCCCATCGTCAGAGTACGTGCAATTCTTCTCACGTCAAATGAACTATGCAGTGACGTTGTATGTAGGTCAGTAAGGGTGGCCAGAAGATCGATTTCTACACTATGCCGGAGTACGAGCAATGGCTTGAGGAGACTCCAGGGTCTGAGAAATGGAAGGCGAAGTACTTCAAGGTCAGGACCTCTTGATAGGGTATCGCAGGCGAAACTCACTAATGTTGTCCAGGGTCTCGGTACGAGTACTGACGAAGACTCTCGATCCTACTTTAAGAACATGCGCAAGCATATGATCCCGTTCAGTACTATACGAGAGGGTGATCATGATCTTATTGAACTCGCTTTCAGCAAGAAGAAATCGGACGATCGTAAGGAGTGGCTTCGTCAATACAAGGTTTGTCACCGTTTTATGCAATCCATAAGCTTTTCTCTGACCAGTATCATATTGCCTAGCCTGGCACCTATCTCGATCACACTCAAGGAGAGATCGGGTACGCGGACTTTATCAACCGCGAACTGATACTATTCTCTATGGCGGACAACATACGTTCCATCCCTTCCGCTGCAGATGGCCTAAAGCCTGGTCAGAGAAAAGTCATTTGGGCCTGTTTCAAACGCAAACTTAAAGGCGAAATTAAGGTATCCACGATGGCTTCTGCAGTGTGTGATTATTGAGACTGTCTTGTCGTAGGTTGCCCAGCTTGTCGGTTATGTCTCTGAGCATGCACAATACCACCATGGTGAGCAGAGCTTGATGGCGACAATTGTCAACTTGGCGCAGGACTATGTCGGCGGGAACAACATGAACCTGTTGATGCCGAACGGTCAATTCGGTACTCGTGATCAAGGCGGAAAAGACCACGCAGCGGCGAGGTACATCTTCACGGAATTGGCACCGATTACGCGGTCTGTCTTCCCCATTGCAGATGATAATCTGATGAAGTATCAAATGGAAGATGGCAAAGTAATCGAGCCTGATTGGTACATGCCTGTGTTGCCCATGATATTGGTAAATGGTGCCGAGGGTATTGGCACAGGTTAGTGTTAGTATTCCTCTGCGCGTCTTCATTTACTGACTGAAAGACAGGTTGGAGTACATCCGTCCCAAGTTACAATCCTGAAGATATTGTCGCGAACCTTCGTCGCCTCATGGCAGGCGAAGAGCAGGTGCCCATGCTGCCCTGGTGGCGTGGTTTCAATGGATCGATCAAGAAGGTCGGGGAGCACAAGTATGATGTCTCGGGTGTCATCAACAAGGTCGACGACACAACCATTGAGATCACTGAACTTCCCATCCACAAATGGACTCAGAACTACAAGGCAGAGCTGGAGTCGATGTGTGGCGAGAAGGGCGATGGTCCCATCAAGGTATGTATCGAGCTTTCTCCTTAGGTGTAATGGCAGCTCACGTCGGTCTGCACAGGATTACAAGGAATACCACAACAATATGAATGTTCACTTCGTTATCTCCATGGATGCCAACCATATGGCGAAGGCCGAGGCACAGGGTTTGTTAGAGTACTTCAAGCTCAACACCAAGATCAGCACGAGTAACATGATTTGCTTTGATTTCGACGGGAAGATCAAGAAGTACAATTCCCCCGAAGAGATCATAGAGGACTTCTATCCTAAGCGTCTCGCGTATTATCAGATGCGAAAGGTTTGCCATGCTTTGTCGCATTACCGTTCGAGCGATGAAACTGATCACTCTTAGGACTACATGGCGAACGAGTTATCTACCGAGTTGGACAGACTCACCAATCAGGCCCGTTTCGTGCAGATGATTGTGGACAAGGAGCTCGTTGTCTCTAACCGCAAAAAGGCGGATATTGTGGCTGAGTTGCGTAAGAAAGACTTCCGTCCGTTCCCCAAGCCGTCGAAGGCCAAAGAAGCAGGAGAAACCGCAGAAGTCGTTGAGGTTGAAGACGATGACGAAGAAGAGGAGGGAGTCGCTTCCGGTCGCACGGCCGGAGGTGCCTTGGGCGACTATGACTACTTGCTCGGGATGGCAATCTGGAGTCTGACCAAGGAGAAGGTGAGTAGAAGTCGTAACGCGCGGCTTGTTTGATAGTCTGAGCTTGGACTTTTCCAGATCGAGAAATTATGCCAACAAGCGAAGGACAAGGAGTTCGAACTTCTCGCATTGCTGGAGCTTACCCCGATCATGATCTGGCAGAAGGATCTGGATCGTTTCCTCGAAGAGTGGCGTGTGAGTAGCCGCCTGTTGCGCTCTGGATGGTACTCCTAAATGACTGCTATAACAGTATACTTGCTCTCTTTGGGAAGACAAGGCAATTTCTGCGGAGGCTAGCAACAAGAAGGGCAAGCGTAAGCAGGCAACTCTGAGGGCATTTACCAAGAAGGCCGGCAACGACGATACGGACGATGAGTTCAAACCGACGAAAGCTGCTGCCAGGGCGAAGAAGTCCACGGCGGCCCCTGCGAAGAAACCTGCGTCAACGGTGGCTTCAGGCTCCAAAATTAAGATGGATGCTGATAGTGGCGACGAGGATGTCAAGCCTCCGCCCAAGAAGAAGCCCGCGACCAAGGCTAAGAAGGAGGAATCTGAATCCGACTTCGAGACGGGGAACACTAGGCCTGCGCGTGCGAGCAAGAAGAAAGCTATCAAAGACGAGTCTGACTCCGACTTCGAGATGGTGGGAACGAAACCTGCTGTGCAGGCCGACAAGGACTCTGATTCTGATATCGAGCTGGTCGCTCCACCCTCGAGAGACAGCAGTAAAGGCAAGGCGAAGGCGGCGCCCAAACGGAAGAGGTGAGGGCCTTGGTTCTAGTCGTGCAAACCTCAGATTCTCAAATTTCTATTCAACAGCCCGGACGTGGACGGAGAGAACTCCGACGACGATGCCCTCAATGTACCCAAAAAGAAGCAGAAGTCGGATACGCAGGCCGCAGTAACAGACTTTTTCGACAAGGCACCTGCTGGGGCAGCCGCCAAGAAAACGACCGCGCGAAAGACGTCATCAAGCAGTCAAACCGCGAAGGCCAAAGCTGCGCCGAGGAAGAAGCAGGCCTCAAAGGTTATCGAGAGTGAGGATGATGACCCTCCGCCGCCGCCGAAGGCTACCACCGCACGGAAGGCGTCAGCTAGTAAGCCACCACCTGCTAAAAAAGCACCGGCAAAGAAGGCTGTGGGCAGTGATGTCGAAGACGTATCCATAGACGAAATTGCCCCCTTGCCCCCTCGGAGCGAAGCTCCCAAACGCGCAGCGCGGGCGGCTGCGAAGAAGTACGTTGAGATCGCGTCGTCGTCGGAAGAGGAGGGCGGCCAGGAGGCCTCCGAGTTCGAGGACTTTGACTAATGTTCTCGCCATGACCAACTGCTCTAAGTTTCGTTTTCCTGCTCTCGGTCTTTCCATACAGACAGTTATGCTTATGCTCCTGCTCACGGCTTTCCCTGCATTGTACTTTATTAATCATTCACGATCATTGAACTTACGGTGTTTCATAAGTACGACTCCGATCGATGCGTGATAGCTGCGGTATGGGGGATTCACCCAAAGTATGACAAATGTGGCATTATAGGGGAACACATGCAGTCTACCGAGGACAGCATCTGCCAATACGCTAAATATACCTTTTCGAGCTCTTGAGCTCGGCGTAAGGATCCTCCTTCGGAGGGCGACCGTAGCGTGGCTCCTCGGTTTCTGTGTCGGAAAGAGACATAATGAGCCTGCAGCCGCACATAACGAACACAACCACTTACTCAGGACGTCCGAGTGAATCCTCGAGACGGTCTCGTCCCACACCTCACGCCACATGTGCGCGCCGCCGCCGGCGCTGGCGTCGAGCCCGTATTGCGCGGCGAACGTGCGGAGATCGAAGCCGAGCCGGCGCGCGTCCGATGGGACGGGCACGTGGATGCGCTCGCTGGGCGACGCCTGCGGGAGGAGCAGGACGACGTAACGGTGGTACGGCGTGCCGCGCTGCGGGTGCGGGGGGACATAGCGCGTGTGTGTGGTCGAGAGGGGGATGGGGGACGGGGAGAAGGCGGAGAGGGAGAGGTTAGGCCTGGGGACGGTGAGCGGGATGCGACGAAGGCAAGGGGGGCGCAGTGGGACTTACTGCATCCAGTGCAGGTAGGTGGTGAAGGACTCGTTCTCCGGGTCCGGTACATCTGTGGACAGTCAGAAAAGCGGAGTTTCCTCGAGCATGGTACATACCCAGATCTACCATAAGCAGAGTATACAGACGAGGCTCGGTGTGGAACACAGTCGTGTACAACCGTGGTTGTCTCCACGTCTGTCATAAGTCAGCACGAGGATTTGTACCAACTGCCAAGCGGGTGCTTACCTGTTCGGGCAGCAAGAACACACCTGGCTCAACATGTGTATAACGACGCTTCATACGGGAGCGGCGGTAGACGCTTTTCGGTGGTCCTTCCGGGAAGTTGATGCGGAGATCCAGCGAAGGGTGCAAGGACGGGAGGAGGTCGGGAACGACATTCATTTGGTGGATACGCTCCATCTAAAGGGGCGTGCGCCAGGTAAGTACGCCGACATCTAAAGCTCCGATATACGCACCAGTAAATCTAGAGGTCCGTCCTCTCTCCATCTTTGCTCGACGAGATGCCTGTAAATAGGCTTCTTCATGTCCGCTGGCGCATTGTCAGCTTCAAGGTACAGTGCTCTGTAGACATACGCACATACCCAGTCCATTGTACGCCTTCCATCTCACGCCAGGCAGGTTAATTTCGCTCTGAATCTCCAGAATGTCGACCTTCTCCTGCAGCTCCTGCAACTTCACTTCATCTCTCTCCTCTTCTGCTTTTGAGCACTCGGCCTTCAAGGCTGCCTTTGCCTCCTTCAGCTCCTCTTTCAGCATCTGCGAGTCTTCTCTGATATACTGCAGGGCAAAGTCGTACGCAGGCAGAGCGCCCTTGACTAGAGGTCGGTTCCATTCCTTGGGATTTACGGGCTTGCGTGTCTTGCGCGCGGGCTGGTCGCTCTGGGGCTCCTTACCCTTGGGCTGTGCACCATCCGTCGCATTAAAGCCGGCCGACTGCTGGCTGGATGCCAGTGCTGCCGTTGACGCGACCGTGACCTGCGGCGAAGGTGGTGGCGGCGATGCTACCGCATCAGATGCGGTAGATGCTGATTGAAGCGTCGCATTTGTACGCAGTGTCGGGAGCCTGGAGCAGAGACGAGGGAGTCTGCGGACAGCGAGCATGTCCGCGTCTTGAGAGCGGATCGCTCGCGCGCCTTTCTGGCTGCAAACTATGTGCTTATGTAATCCCGACGCAGGCCTAAAGAGGGAACCCGTCGCTGCTCACTTATGGTGCAGTCGCCCGGTCACTTGCACATCAAGAACTACGAGAAACAGACTGGTTTCAAAAACTTAATATCAATTGACTGCGCTGTTGTGATGCTTGAACAGCTTAATAGCATATGATGTGTCCGCGAGCAACTGAGACCAACGTAATGCTCTAATAGTCAGGTTCCTTTCCTGGTGCATCGAACTGCTTTCCCTCAGCGGTTGTAGCAACCCGCCACCATCATGTTGGGTCTCGCCGTCTCTCCGCTATGAAACTCCCCCTTTGAGGTCCTTACTAATCTCACCCAACATTGATACGCAGATATAATCTCATAGCGACCCTCGAGCTGGTTGCCATTTGACTTCTCCTGGACCATGCAGGCGCAGCAGGCACCTGCAGCCCTACCTCGCGGCATTCACCAGTCCTCGCCTCTTGACTCGCTCGTGCGCAGGACATCGTCTCGCAGAGCAAATCTCCCGCCGCTAGCCCCCATCACACCTCCGCGCCCCGACTTCAGGGCGCCTGCCCAGGCACAGTACTCCCCCATTCTACACACGCGCTTTCGCGGCTCAACTCAGACGGCCGCGACGTCATTCTTCGACCACGAGCGCAGTGCGAGCGATGCGACGTCCACATGGGGCGCGAATGATTCGTACGCAGAGGACCAGTATCTGAATGCTCAGGAGCATCCACTCCCCATGCCGCGCTTCCTAGGCACGGCGGGCGGGCAGGCCAGAGGCGAATCCATGGTTGAATCGGTGTACTCCCAAACAAGCCTCGACATCCACGACGTCGCAGGCCACTACCGTGGGTCGTGGCAGACGGCAGCCACCGCGAAGCCGGACGAGTCGTCGCGGCGATCGACGCCCGAGCCGATTCTGCCTACGGTTGTTGTCGAGGCCGAGCAGGCACCTCTCGAGGATGCTGAAGTATGGCCGCCAGCACCTTTTGCGCCTCCTCATCAACCTGCCGGGCGGACACCGTCGCGCGTACCGGTGCAGAGCGGAAGCGTAAATTTCTCGCGGCCGGTCCTCCCGCCTATCGACCGGTCAGAGGAGCGTAAGAGAGAGGTCCTACGCCGCAACCAGCAGCGCTTGGCTAGCACGTCGCCTACGCCGTCTGCGCACCAGCCCATGCGATCGCCGCACGCACCATACGAGCTCACTGCCAACGCGAGTCGGCCAGGGACAAGCATGAGCGCGCAATCCCGCACGACGTCTTCACAGCCCTCATCAAGAGCGGTCAGCCCTTACGGTGCTGTCCCCGCATCAACATCGTCAACTTCACTGGCGCCGTCGCGGCCACAACGGCCACCGTCTCCCGTCAGCTTGTATTCGCACTATTCCTACTACCAGCTGGACTCTCCTACTGGATCCTCAGCGTCCTCACCACACCTTCCATCCGCTCCCGGGGCTTCCTCGCCGCATCCGTCACAGCCGTATCCCTCCTCCACCAACCTGAGTCCGAACTACGTCCCTTCGCCCCGAACACCCGCCTCCGCTCCCTCACCTACGCCCGGAAAGTCGTCTCAGCCCACAACCCCAGAAGACTTCCTGCAGCTGGGCATCCGGCACCACGAGGCAAACAGGCTAGAGGAGTCCGCGGTGTGCTTCGAGAAGAGCGCGACGCTAGGCGGCGGATGTGGGGTGGGCATGTTGATGTGGGGCCTCGCGCAACGACATGGTTGGGGGTGTGCGAAGAATGAGCAGGCGGGGTTCCGCTGGCTGAGGCGCGCCGCGGAGGTCGCGGTGGATGACCTCGAGCGCGCGCGGAAGGGCATGGACACGAGCCCAGTGAAGGTGGGTGCGGTGCCGGTGTTGTGTGTAGACGTGCTGATCTCGTTGCTGTTCGGCGCGTCTAGTCTGAGCTTGTGCTGGCGATATACGAGGTGGGGCAGAGCTTCTTTCAGGGGTGGGGAGTAGAGAAGGACAAGAAGATGGCAGTGGTATGTTTTCGTGGTCGTGTCTGCTTGACGGGCAGGTGTCGTGACGAGATCATCCTCTAGTCGTACTTCCGAGTGGCAGCCCGTCTGGGTGATCCCGATGCGCAGCAAGAGCTGGGATTCTGCCTTGCGAATGGCAAGGGGTGCAAGAAGGACAAAATGGAGGCCGCGAAATGGTATAGAGCAGCGGTACGTCGCCTTTGAGTCTGCTTTTTGGCTGTACACTGACGCAATGTGGTGACTAGGTTGCGCAAGGCGTGAGCGATATCGGTTTGACGTGGATTTACAAAGACAAGTATCAATAGCGACCGGCGCAGTGCCTAACCATGCAGTGATAGTGTTTGCCCATTCGTTCTTTCATCGCATCTTCACCTTCCTGGGACTATCTCTGATACCCATATACCATTCATATGCTGTATCCTTACTCTCTGAGCCGCCCACTCCTTCTCTATGTAGTCTAATTCAGATCGCACAAGATAATTTTCCGCCGCATCGTCAAGGCCGCGCTTGTAAGCCCGCCAGATTCGAATATCACTCATGATCAATTCCCGCGTGAATAACCCTACTACGTACTGTAAGTACTTACATCCGCTCGAAACCCTTTGAGTTTGGCTCACCCTTTCGATGGCATCCCTCACTCTTGAGCCGCCTTGACAAGCTTACTGTGAATTGAGGAAAACACGTATAAACCCGAAGGTTTTGTCAACGAATCAACGACTTCTCCAGAGTGTCTGAACGAAATGCTCCGGGAGCCCGGGTCAAGCTATTTCTGACCTACCTTGATGATGCTACTTAGCTCTGGGTCTAGGCGCAAGATGCATTCATATAATTCCAGCAAGCCACATAGTCGTCTCACATCCGTATGCGTTCCTGCGGCTGCACTTGCTAAGTACTCTATGTGATAGCTAGCTTCGCTTTGTAGCGAACCTCAAGGCTACCTGATTACATTTTCTTTCGGTACAGAGCGCATCATGCAATGATTTATAGTCACCATCGCACTCTCCCTTGCAATATACTACTTCCTCCAAACTCGCTCCTGGAAAAGGTAGGAACATTTGTGCTTCCTTATCTGACTTCTATGACACACGGGTTTACTGTAGTCTTGCGTGCCAAGGATGACGAGTACAGTGGGTATTTCATTCTCGGCGGTTCCATGGTCGTCCCGAAAATTTGGTTAGTACAGACATCGATGACTGTGCGTCAAGCTGTTGATTGACTTGTGCAGGTTCATGTAGATGGATCTGATTGTTTAACAATCCAGAGGCGTTTAAGCCGCGGCGCTACCTCGATGACCCCAGCCTACCCCTCCTCGCCTTGGGGTTCGGTCGGCGGTAAGGACAAAGAAGTTCGCATCATACTCGTGCTCACACAAAAGCAGGGCTTGCCTTGGTTAGCGTATGGTGGAGGAGACCCTGTTCCTTGAGTTCGCTACTATTCTGTGGGCCTTAGACGTCAAGCCTGCCACGGACCCAGACACTGGGAAGCCAATATCCATAGACTCTGACAGAGACTGGCTTTGCGCCCGTTGGCCTCTTGTGAGTAGCTTCTTTTCTTGAGTTAATCACAATACGTGATCAGATAACCACGGCACGTATAGAAGGGCACTTCGTTCCAAGTTACAATTACCGGAGAACACTCTGCGCGCTCGATACTCCTCGCGCACATAGTGGAGACTGAAGGTCTTTAAACTTCAATATCACGAGCCTACATGTCGAGTTTAATGGGTACGTCATCCATTGAATGCTCGAATGCAGGGCCGCACTAGTTCCGAATGTGCTCGCTGCTCTTACGCTCAAAGCTCCAGGGATGCTCGATTCACCGCGAGCAGATCGGATCAAATTATAGTCGATGAGGACTTCAAGATTCATCATTCAGATTGACAATTGGCGGCAATATCGCTACTACTTATTCCCGGACCAACAGTCAAGTCGACAAAATGAAGTCAGGCGTTAGTTCTCCGAGCAGGACCCCTTGAGCAGCGAATGATGGACGTTTCCTTCCCACACCATACAAACTCTCATGCTGTTGACTCTGGTCTAGTTCCTGACTCGAGCAGATGACAACATACTACTAAGCCAGATTAAATGTTTGAAATGACTACGGCCGAGGGCACCGCAGGTCGACCGATGTCAGCGGAGGTGAGATCAAAACGTTCTACGTTACAAAAGCTCACAGATGTGGTGGTCTCTACAAGTTCACAAGTAAAACATCGCCATGGCTGATCAGGCAGCAATTCGCGACAATGAAAAACGGGCGGGCCCTCCATTGTCATCTTATGGGCGAGCCCAAGTCGAAAGAGGAAAACTACTTCTACAGATGCACAAGAATATGCGCAATACGTATCACCCTTTACATAATCCAAATGTATGTGATTGTCGACTGTGATGTTTGATAACCATACTCATCAGACGTCTAGGGAATTGTTAACATTGTAAGAACTGAACACAGTATAGGCTATGGACGTATCCTGTATCTTCACGTCTTGACTTGACAGGGTGTTGCAGAGAATACTTTGATGCATGAAGAACTACGTGAATACTTCGAGCAGAAGTTCCGCTTACTTCCCGAGGCGAGATCTCTTATTTTTTGATACATATTACATGGCCCGCTCATGTAGAGAACTGTTTTTTCGCCTGAATATAGGACTTCACTTACGGCGATGGCATCACCGGCACGACGCGTCTGACAAATGCACTGTCGACCTTCCTCAACTCGTACTTTGGGCCTCACCTTCCAGTCAGCCCGGATCATTTGATTATGGGGACAGGATTGCTACCTATGATGAGCCACGTCACCAGGGCGGTCGCCGGTCGCGGTGAGGGCATTCTTTTAGCGGCGCCTTATTACCCGGGATTCGACGATAGTCTTGCCATTGAGAACGACATCATTCCCGTCGGGATCTCCGTACCTCCATCGGAGATGAACACAATGGCCGAACTAGCCTACCTCGAGAATGGTCTTTTGGAGAGCAAATCTAAGGGGGTCGTCATCCGAGCGGTGATTGTGTGCAATCCGCACAACCCTCTAGGTCTCCGCTACTCGCGCAACGTTTTGATTGGGTATGCTCGTCTGTGCGAACAGTACAACCTGCACCTCATCTGCGACGAGGTGTATGCCTTATCCGTCTTCCCTTCACGCGATGTACCACAGCCGCAACCTTTCGTTTCTGCATTGTCATTGGATCTTCAGGCGCTGGGTGTCAACCCGTCCAGGGTCCACATACTCTACGGTATGTCCAAGGACTTTAATGCGGATGGGTTCCGCGCAGGCGTCTTCATCTCCCAGTCCAACTTACTACTGTTGCGGAGTTTAACCGTCGCAGCCATGTTCATGAGCGTTGCATCTCCCACCGACATCCTCTGGTCCACGCTACTCACCGACAAGACTTACCTTGCGGCGTTCTTTGGGCGTAACCAGGCGAAACTACGGGAAGCGTATGAATACATGACCCAGTGGCTCACATTCCACGGTTTACCCTACATTCCGTCTTGTGCAGGGCATTTCCTCATGGTCGATATGCGCCCCGTGCTGTCGAATTGTGATCGATACGCTTCCATTCTTTCGGTAGGACACGAGGCCACAATGCGCGAAAAGGAAACCGCCTTATACAACCTGCTGCTGGCACACAAGGTGACAGTCGTACCTGGAGCTGTTATGCATACTGCCGAGGGTGGCTGGTTCAGGTTCACATTCTCACTCCGGAGGGAGTTCACCGACGTGGCTTTGTCGAGGTTCGAACAGGTGTTGGGATGGCGCTCGTGGAAGGAGAATCCCCTTACTGCAAGCACTGAGGGCACGAACGGATGATATACTTTTAGCGACACATGCTTGTTGTACAATGTGATCATCGACACGACCCCCTTTCACTGGATACATTGGCAGCGTTGCTGTATTTCTTGCATACAATTACAAAAAGCTCCGCTGTGCATGTTAGGCCGCGGTCTAACTCGAGGCACCAGTAGTATTGCGGCATGAGTGCAGTTGGTGAATTAGCTCGTGCGTGGTGTTGGTGCGCAACGCGAAGCTGAACAACACGATGGCAAGAGTAGACACCCTAATGAGACCTCACGACATGACTGACTATCAAAACCCGAAGGCTCGCGGTACCAATCGGCGCATCATGTCAATACTAATGCGCCACCTCCTCTATCCCGCATCTCTTGCGCCGCCCCTCCATGACCCACGTACTGAGAGCGACAGTGGTCATGCTGAGCAGCAGCCATCCGATGAGCACCGGGATGTTGCGGCCCAAGTGCGACTTGGTGTCGAACGTAATCGTGAGGAAGGCCTGTGACGCATTACTGGGCCCCATGTCTCAATATCAGCGCAAGTGCATTTGTAGGTATGCATGCACGTACTAGAAGGGAAAGCCTTTTCCGTAGCGGAAGACGCCTGGAAGCAGTTCGAGAGGAAACTCAGTGATCGAAACATTTGCTATGATCTGAAGAAAGGGTACGTGATGAGGGAACCGGAACACACACGCACGCATGCGCACACGTATGAACAACTCACAAGCGTTACAAGGAGGAAAGGGGCGAAACGTATTGTCAGTATGCCGATGGCGAACTCCGTCGCTAGTCCCACACCACCCATGAGGATGTAACAGATGATCCAAAAGAGGAAGAAGCCCTGTGCCTCTGTGTACTTGGCGTGAAACGGGACGTGGAATGGAAGGGAAATGATCGCAAACGAGAGCGACAATGGGATGTATGCGATGAGGGGCGCAAATACGCGTAGCAGAATGTAGTGCGGCAGGCTGAGATGGCGCGCGATAATGGGGCGAAGGCCGCTGTTGGTCATGGTCTGTTCAGCGCGTGTGAGGAGCGGGCGTAGATGTTTGGATAGGAGAACGAACATACAAGAATGAAGGAGAAGATGGACTATCAAGATCATTCCAACTTCAGTCAAGGCCGAGACGACGGGTGCGCTGAACGGACGCAGATTGTTGAGATCGTAAGTGACCACTGCACCGTTTTGTGCTCCTGCTCCCGCGGCACCCATCGCCTTTGCTAGGTGTCCGAGAGCGGTTGCGTTATTGGCATTTGAGCTGAGAACGTGAGAGGTGATGTTGGCATTAATCTCTGCGACCGTCGGGACGAGAAGCGAGTTGATGAATGGAATAATATAGAAATCTGCAGCGAACTGATTTCTGGCCTCGTTGTAATACACTGATATTGCCGAGCCATTCAGATTGCTAGACTCTCCTCCGGACAGGACAGAGAACGTGTCGCTCGTGGCGTCTTGGTTTACTGGTGTGCGAAAGCACGTCGCGGGGGGACATTACGGTGTGAGGTCGACAGTATGTGCTGGACACTCGCCTGCAACAGCCGCCCACACTTGCTCGTCTATGACACTGTCGATGACCTTGTCATTGGAATTGACGGTGTCATCGTCGCTGTCTACGAGCTGCCAGCCAAGAGTGGGAATCGAAGCTGCATCGGCCGCAGCACGTTGGACAGCGGCAACGACACCATTTCCAACGGCTGACCGGTCCCGGCTGACTACCCAGACAGTCAATCGAGAGGTGTGTTGCGTCGCATACGCCAAAGAGGCCCAATAGATTGGCAGAAGCGCCCACATGAGCAAAATAAGCAGGGTTGCGTAAATGAAGTAAAACGAGAGGTATTGCTTGCGAAATTCTGCTATTGCTGGGTGGAAGAGTGTATAACGAGGCCGTTTAGAGCCATCAACCTGCTCGAGCGAGTCGACGTCCATTGGTGGGCCAGAGGCCGGCGGTGTGAGGACTGACTGGTCATCGCGAGTGCCAGGTTTCTCGCGTAGCAGGGAAGAATCAGTACACACTGCCCTCGATGCGTGCAGACTCGTGAGGGGAGAGGAAGGGGAAGAAAGGGAAAGTAGGAGGCGAGGAAGACGAGAAGGCGAGGAGGAAGCGCGAAGGCAAGGATGAACGTGACCACCAATTCGAAGTTAGTCAGATATGCTGTGCAAAAGGCTTGCATCCTACCTGCCATGTTCTCGTCACAGGGTGGTTGTTTGACCTGCTCCTAGTAGACGCGGAGCTGTGTAGTATGGTGCGTGATGGCTCGGGCTAGCCGCACGCTGCAATGCTCCCGTGCAGCCGGGGTCCAATTGTGCCCATCTCGACATCGACTGCGTAGCACCGTGGCCATGGGTTGCAACGCTTCTTTCGACGGCGACGTCTGTGCGGCACAGAAGGCAATTCGCCGATTCTTCGGGAGTGCCGAATGAAGGTAGTTCTTTTGTGTATGAGTGCTTGCCCACTTTCTATATATGGACACGGCAGTGGAAAACATGCATGGTTTCCCCATAAGTACTTTACCATGCTTTACACAGATCTCCGTCTGTCGCACGCCCACACCGCGATCGCCGTCTGGCACTGCATCATCGACTCGGCGCTCACCAGATAGTTGTATGTTTGGGGCTACATCAGGGATTTACGACTTCTTTCTGATGATGATCACAATAATGTAATGTATCAGATTTTTGCAATGCCCATAGCCCATTAGGATGCACGGAGAAGCCACGTGCAATAGTATATACACTGCTTGGCTCTGCGGCGGTGCCTGCAGATCCTTCAGTCGCAAAGTCCACATTCCAGTTTGACAAACACCTCGCAGACCAGACATGTCCGCTGCCGTGTCGACGAAGCTGACGAAGCTGTTCAGTGAGTCCACTACTGCGTTGTGGGCGCGATGCAAATGTCGACAATGGCGATTGTAGACATCACGAGTCCTATAGTGTCGGCTCCTATGGCTTACGCCACAACGCCTGCGCTGGTAGCAGAAGTTATCAAAGCTGGAGGACTGGGTTTCCTCGCTGCAGGTCAGTCCCAGATTTAGCGTAGCCTTGGTGTGCATTCCAACTTTAGCATGATGACAGGCAACGAGCCCGCTCCCAAACTCGCGCAGGCCCTCGATGAGGCTCGCGCAGCAGTCGGCAAAGACAAGCAGCATCTTGTTGGCTTTGGCTTTGTCGGATGTATTCTGGACATGTTCAACACTGCCGCCGACCCGCGTCTCAAGACGGTTCTCGACAAGACACCGTCTGCTGTATGGCTGGCCTACGGGAAGGATCTTGGCAAGTACGTCGCTCAGGTGCGCGAACACAACGCGGCGCACAACACAAACATCCTCGTTTTCCTCACTGTGAATACCGTGGAGGAGGCACTCCGTGCGGCGAACGAACTGAAGGTCGACGTTATCGTTGCGCAAGGTAAGACCATTTCAGCGTCAGTGACTGGCTGTATACTGTGCTGATGTGTGTGCATACGCGCAGGCGCCGAGGCAGGCGGACGCGGGAGTGTCTACTCTCCTCCCACCGGAGAGTTCTTGCAGGCCACTCTCGCTGCCGTCCCGGATGGACCACCAATCCTTGCCGCCGGGGGTGTCACGACCGGTGCACAGATCGCAGCGTTGCTCACCAAGGGCGCCGCGGGCGTCGTCATCGGCACACGCCTGCTGTTCACGCATGAGTGCATGTTCTCCGCGGACATGAAGCAAGTGCTCGTGGAGGCGGGGTCGGACGCAACCGCGCGGAGCCCGGCATACGACGTGGCGTTCCCTCCGGGCATATGGCCGCAAGGCATCGAAGCGCGCTGCATCACTAACGCGATTGTTGCGGACTACAAGGCGGGGCTTGACCCTCTGGACCGCAAGACAAACCTGGCAAGCGGCAAGAAGGAGTACTTGCTGGTGTACGCCGGTACCGGCGTGGGGGATGTGAAGGATATACGGAGCGCAGCGGTGCGTGTTCGATTGGTACCCATGGCAGTGTCAACAATGCTTATGTAGCTCGTCTTGCAGGAGGTGGTGCAGGAGCTCAACAGCGAGACTATTTCGTCGCTGAAGACTTTGGGTCCTCAGCTGCTCGCTTGAGATGTCCCGAATGCTCGTCTGGAGGTCATTTAAAGGGTTTCTCTCAGCCACCGAAAAGAATGATGTGCTGTTTCGTCTTACTTTGTGTTGCTGCCAACCATGTACGGTAGTGTTGTTTATCTGGTGTGGTGCCTCTATCTCTATCCACGTACTAGTGATTATCAGCAGGCTACGGCCATGGCAGCGTCTGAACTTGCCACAGGGAGCTATTTCACTGGCACTTGACAGAAGTCGCTTCTGGAGCTACCGCATTCCGAATCCGTCTAGCAAGGATCGTTCTTACGTCCTAAGATAACAAGGCTTGTCGACCGGGGATGTTGAGGACAGAAGGTGCACATGCACAAGGCGACGATCAGGACAGTTTGGGGAAGGAGGGAAGCATATAGTAATATTTACTCAGATCATGAACGGCCATGCTCACCCGCAGCAAAAATTTGCGCTGTTGGAGATTTTTCTCGCGGTCTCCTCGATCCAGCCAGTGCCCGGGAAGACGATTTGCTTGGAGGAATACGAAGGCAACTCAGATCGTACACCGCTGCCCTTTGAGATAGACGGCGGGTACTCAGCCATTGCATACGAATATTGTGCAATCACAAGGACTCCGTTTACTCTGCTCTCAGGAGACTAGACGTTGAGGTGGTATCCCGGATTGCCGCCGAGTGTGGCCCATATGAAGGCTGCGCTGCCGTGCGCTGACTGTGTCCGCTTGCGCGTGCATGCTTCATGCTCCCGTGCAACTCGACTGTCGTCCTCTCGAGGACTTGCTACGCCCACGCCCACGCTGTACGAAATACACTGCTGGGCAGAACTGCCACGTCGCGGGCTGTAGTTGGAAGAGGCCGTCGCGCATACGCGACCGATCATCCAGGCCCTGACCGCGGCACCCACTCTGCCGGAGATCGCAACGCACCCCTCCACCGTACGTGCCGTCTTCCAGATGCGCATTCGTCGCGTTCACATCTCGCTAGGAAGGCTTGCCAATGCGTGGAAGGACACCCCCACAAAGTGGTATCCTCTGCCCGTCTTCGTCGGCGCGCTCGTCCTCACTGCCTTGCAATATCGCAGACGAGTGACCGAGAGGGAGGTCCACGTAGATGAGAATGGCCAGGAGGTAGTACGTCTGAAGGGTCCGTGGCAGGTGAGTCACGCTGCATGGATATTTCGTTCGTTCTCCCTACGTGCCAGCAATATTTCCCTTGTTGTTATTGCTGGGCTCTTGTCAATACTACATGGGCTCCATGGAGCTATCCTGACCACCCTCATGGCATCTCGCACGCAATTGCAATGTTTACTGCTCATAAATACTGGCTGAAATGTGCAACAGGTGCATGTCCTGGGTGCCCTGCCTTTGCGCAACATGTCACGTCTGTGGGGCACCGTGAACTCTATGGAGCTACCTGTTTGGTTCCGTCCTATAGGCTTCCGGCTCTATGCATGGGCATTCGGCTGCAACATCGACGAAGCGGACCAGGACGATCTCACTCAGTATGTCAGTCTCGGCGACTTCTTCTACAGGAAGCTCAAGGACGGCGTCCGTCCCGTAGCAGATACCGTCCTGGTATGTCCATCCATGCACTGCGTCCACCCCAGCAGTCGTCTAACACTCCGTCTATCCTGCTGCACCCGGTGACCCGTAAAGGTAAGCCCTGCAGACGGCCGCATGCTCCACTTTGGCGCCATCACGGACGGGCGCGTCGAGCAGATCAAGGGCAGCACCTACTCGCTCGACGCACTGCTCGGCATCGAGCGGCCCAACTCGCCCAAGCCGACCTCGGTCGCGTTCGCGGCGCGCGACATGGCGGAGGTCGACGACCGCACGTTCGCCGACATCAACGGCATCGAGTACAGCCTGCGCGACTTCCTCGGCACGTCGACGCCGCCCTCGCCGGCGGCGTCCGGCACGAGCACGCCCACCGCGGACGCGCACGACCGGGCGCGGGCCGGCGGCCTCCCGGCGCCGAACGCGAAGAAGCACGGCGAGCAGATCGACGCGTCGGTCTCTCCCGACGGCCCGCTCGCGGACGTCGTCGCGCACGAGGCGTCGGTCGCGGCGGAGATGGGCGCGCAGCCGTTCCTGGACCGCGCACGGGGCATGAGCCGCTACGCCGTGAAGCCGGGGCACGGCTTGTACTTCGCGGTCATCTACCTGGCGCCCGGTGATTACCACCGGTTCCACAGCCCGACTGCCTGGGTGGTGGAGAAGAGGCGGCATTTCGTAGGCACGTCGTCTTCCTATGTCGGCATTTGATGGGCTCTGACGTGCGCAACAGGCGACCTGTTCTCCGTCTCACCATGGATGGTCAAGCGCTTGGAGAATCTCTTCGTGCTCAATGAACGGGTCGCTTTGCTCGGCCGGTGGAAATATGGCTTCTTCGGGATGGTCCCTGTCGGTGCAACCAACGTTGGAAGTATCAAAATCAATTTCGACCAGGTCAGTAGCCGTGTTTTTGCCCATGCAGTATCAGTCCGGGTAACCGTTCTGCACAGGCATTACGTACGAACGTGGGTGCGCGCCGCCCGCCCCCTACCGGTACCTACTCTGAGGCCGTGTACACTGCCGCGTCACCCATCCTGCGAGGACAGCCACTGACGAAGGCGGAGGAGATGGGTGGATTCTGTCTGGGGAGTACCATCGTGCTCATTTTCGAGGCACCTGAGGACTTCAAGTTCTCGGTGAGCACAGGTCAAAAGGTGAAAGTGGGGGAGGCTTTGGGAGATGTCCCCTCGAACACTGGCACTGCTGCTTAGAGTACATGTACTATCACGATAATCACGACCTGTTCGGGCTCTCAACAGCTAGGGCATAGGTATTACGACTATAATAAAGTCGAAGTGGGCGCAACCCAGCCACTAATTTGATCTATCAAATCTATCTAACGTCAATCCTACTTGACTTGACTATACCAGGCGTAATACCGCAACTGACTCTACATGTGCAGTCTGCGGGAATAGATCGAAGCCCACCAACGACTCCATCACGTACCGGCGCCCGCCCCTCGCCTCCGACTTGCGCAGAATCGTGCCCACGTCCCTCGCTTGCGTGTGTACGTTGCAGCTCACGTACACCACGAGCGCGCCCTGGAACTCGAGCAGCTGGTCGATAAACTTCGCGTCCGTCCCCTTGCGCGGCGGGTCGATGATCAGCACCGTCTGGTCCCGCGGGAAGTCTTGTACCGTCGCAAAGATGTTCGCAGCGTCCCCGGACATGAAGGAGCACTGGTCGGGCGGGATGTCGTTCAGCTGCGCGTTGCGCGTCGCGCAGCGGATGGAGTCTTCGGAGAGCTCGATGCCGGCGACCTTTTGAAAGGAGCGCGCGAGCGTGATGGCAAAGAGGCCGCTGCCGCAGTATGCGTCGACGAGATGCGTCGGGCGCGGAGGTGCAGTGGGGCCAGATGGGTGGTGTGCGAAGATCGCGTCGCGAACATAGGAGGTGAGCGGGAGCAGGACCGAGTTGTTGTTTTGGAAGAACGACCCAGCAATGTACTCAAACGTATTGTCTCCTACCCGCTCGCGTACTGTTGCCTTATGGTCCGTGACGCAGACATGCTTCTCCAAGGTATGCCCAGTATTTGTAGAAGACATGAGTTCGGATGCAGCAGCTTGATCAGAGGACGGTTGCTCTTCAGGCTTGGATGTATTGCGCTCAGTATCCATTGCCAGAGAATCGCGAAGCAGTAAGGACACTCCTTTTTTGTAAGAGTAGATTTTTCTACATCAGAAACAATGAGAAGCGTAATCCAGAAACCACCAAAAATGCGTGCTCAATAATGTTCTTGCGAAGTGGCGGGAGAGCTTCGTTCAGGGTGGGCGTCGCAATCGGACAGTCCTGTGTGGGTTTGCGTGAGCTACTTAAAAATATACATTTGATCAACGTTGGACCGACCTCGATATCCATGACCTGCCGTGTTCCAATCTGATTGAAACCGATTTTCACCCAGTCGGGCTTGTTTTCAATTGTCACAAGCGGTTTGTCGGCGGACTTTTGCAGCTTCTTGGGAGGTGCATCGAAGTGAGGCGTGATTTTCGTGCGATACCCATATTGCAATGGAGAACCAATGGTAATTGGTACCGTCGGAACCGATGAAGGCGAGAGGTCTATGTCCGGCGTCAGTAACAGAGCCACTGCTTGACAAGTGATTTTGAACGCACCTGAGAAGTGCTCATACGCCTTGACCACGACATCACGCTTCAGATCAAGCTGTTTCTCATAAGAAAGCATCTGCCGCAAACAAAAATCAGCTTACGCGCGGGAATTGCGACGGTCAAGCTTACTTGGTATTGGCATCCGGCACATTTGCCGAAGTACTTGCATTGCACGCGGGACATATCCCTGAACTCCGGGTTGGGTGTGATGACATCGAGCAAATCCGCATAGGAGTACAAGCGAGCACTCCGGTAGACCCGCACACGAATTTTCTCACCAGGCAATGCCAGAGGGGTAACTATGACCCATGGCTTTGAAGGCACAACGGAGAGGGAGTCGCCTGTCCCAAGACCAAAATGTAAGACCAAAGCAAAAGGTAAAGTTATCAAAACAAAAAGCCAGGGCAAGGAGACATGTCCGATGTCGCAGCGAACGAATCGAAGAGCGGTTTCGCTACAACCGGCAGAGGTATACCGACAACCCACCTTGGACAATGCTTGAAGTAGTATAGTCATTGGTTCATAACTCATCGGGATCGTGTCGGAAATGTGAGGCTTTACTCACCACTTGAGGACAGTGCAGATACGGTGAGTTCGAGCTCCTCACGGTGTTGGAAGGGACTGCTCCACTCTGATCCTTCGGCTACAGCAGCATCCACCGTTTCCTGTCCAAGCAAATTGGCAACATCTGTCGCGACCACAAATTCTGCCGTGTATGGCTCCGGAAGGGTGTGTTTTTGCTTCTGCTTCTTCTTCCGAGAAGAGTTTTTCCCCCCGGATTTTGTGTTTGGTTCATCCTTCACTGGTGTACCGGGACGAGCTGGCGACGCAGATCCCAGACGCGTTTTCTTGTCAGGTCTGACAGACAAGTCTTGACTCTGGGGAGATCGTGGTCTGCGCGCGTCGGTCATTTTGTGATAGAAGCGTTGACTGAGGGTATTATTTACGCGGAAAGGTCTGAGGAGACGTAAAGCGAAATTCACCAGCATGCGATTTGAGAGCGGGTGGATTCCACAAATGGACTTGAGTGAGTCGCGTCTTGAGCGCGCGAAATTAATTCCGCGATTCACGAAACACGTGATCCTGCCGCGTCAAGTCGGTCATCGCGTCTTCGGTGGCTGCCTCTTTTCTTTCCTTTGACTCTCGTACTCAAAGTCTTGTATCCTATGTATGTTATCCCAACAAGTGAAGGACATCAGGGAGAGCCAGCGGGCTCTACCCAATTTTGTTACAAGCTGATCATTAGCATTGGCTTGGTCCTCGCTGGAGGAGTATTCGCTGGGTACGTGCCGAGCTATCAATGTCACTCACTCCATCATGTATTTCATCTGCCATAGTTTGACACTAGGCCTCATGGGTCTCGATGAGCTCCACCTCCGTGTCCTTGCTGCATCTTCCGATGATCCTCGGGAGAGAAAGAATGCCCAGAAAGGTACAAGCATTTTGTATACCTCGCCCATGCCTGAGTGTCTTACGAATTATGTCTAAAGTTTTACGCCTCCTGACCGGTCGACGTCATTGGGTACTTGTAGTAAGTCCTATTTACCCATGAAACTGGTCACTTAGTGACAGCGTTCAGGTTCTCCTTTTGGGTAATGTGGTTTGTGAATATTCTATGACTTTGTGCAAATTGCTGCTAAAGAGCGCGGTTAGATTGTGAACGAGAGTCTTCCCATCTTCCTTGATAGTGCGGTGAGTTATTATCCCATGTCGCCGTTTGCTTCTGTTGCTTATGAACCACTTGTAGCTTGGCGGCGGTATAGCTGCCGTTGTGATATCCACTACGATGATTGGTGAGCACATTCATTCCAGCACGCGGCTATCCTGTCCACCTCGTCTGTCGCAGGATGGCGCTGACAGTGATAGAGGTTCCTGTGGCCTCTGCCATGCCGAGTTCCACACGCGCAATGCTTAGATACTTCCATTTCCATGTTGCAACGTGCTGATATTGAATGGTCATTGCGCAGTGATTTTTGGGTGCGTGTAGATCCCGTGGTAGCTTGTATTCGGTGGCTCATCTCCCGGTGATTACCACAACTTTTATAGCGAGTGAGTCTTCAACTATATTACCACCTGCATGTATTCTAACGAATTTCGCGCGCTAGGATCATACCACAAGCTGCCAGCGTTAGATATGGGCTCTCTATAGGAGCGTCATGCGCTCCCATTGTCTTGGGGATGATGTACCTTTTCGGTAGGTGTTTCCTGTATTTGTCACTATCGGTCACCTCTAAATGTACCGAATTTGCCTGTCAATCCAGCCCCTATTGCATTCCCTATTGCAAAACTACTCGACTGGGTTCTCGGCCACAATGACTCTCATACATACAAAAAAGCCGAACTGAAGTGAGCAATTTCGTACTTCAACAGGACTGTCAGATTGATTCCCTGATGACTTTTTTAGATCCTTCCTGGCATTTCACAGACAGGGTGAAGAGCCTTTGCGTGACGACGAGATTAGTATATTGAACGGTGTCCTGGAACTGAACAACAAGCATGTGGAAGAGATCATGACCTCTATGGAGGTATGTTTTCTGTGGAGACGGTGTAACCGATTCTCAAACAATGACATGCATTATAGGACGTTGTCACGCTCAGCTCCGATCGTATTCTTGATCATGAAACCGTCGACTTTATGTATTTGTCATTCCTCAAGAGTATTCCACCAGGCTAACCATGTTTTCATTTCGATGTAGATTGCGCAGCGGCTATTCTCGTATTCCCGTGCACAAACCTGGCAGGCCACTTGCATTTGAGGGGCTGCTCCTGCTCAAGAAGGTATTGACAATAATCGCCACGGTCTCGTAATAGTCTAATGTCTTGATAGCTATCCATATACGACCCATCTCAGGAATGGCCCGTTTCAAAATTTCAGCTTTCCATTCTTCCGGAAGCAAACCCCTCCATCAATTGTTTCCAGGCGCTGGATTACTTGTATGTACGCTACAAAAAATGATTGAGATTTGACTCACTCTTTTGCAGCCAGACCGGACGTGCACATCTCCTGTTGTTGAGCAAGACGCCAGGGGAGGAAGGTGGCGCCATCGGTGTAGTCACACTTGAAGGTGAGCACGAAGTCTATTACGAATAACGTCCGCATTTGACGTTCGATCGAACCTTGAAGATATCATCGAGGTATACTTTGGCATAGTCATTGCGCTGGATTCTTCACTGAACGGTTGCTCGCTAGGAAATCATCTCCGAAGAGATTGTCGATGAGACCGACCGCTACGAAGACAATCACAGCAAACGTCACGCGAGGCGTGCAAAAAACGCGGCAGTTATGCGAGGGTGCGTTTATGCGTCATAGCACCCCTTAGTGTGCCTGACCGCATTCGCAGGATCGTCGAGTACCGCGCCAATCGAACCAACTCATACACAACCGCACCGGTGGCTGGCGAGCGCACGCCGTTGCTGAGAGAAAACGGCAACACGGATCTTCAGGCTGAGGTGGGTGGTGTGACCCACACGGAGGCAATGCCCATCGTTCGCGAGGACGGTCCTTCGACAAATGGCCTCACCACGAATGGCACTACAGCAGAATATGGAACCATCATTGTGGGCTCACCGAAGATCATGAATCCGTAAATGATCTTTTTGATTTGTGTCCCTGGATAAGTGCTTCGCACAAAATACCTATCTGTGTTGTAGCATACAACATTAAACTAATACCAGAGTCAATGGACGGTGAAGGATGGTGGATGCAACGACAGATAAGATGACAGCGGACTCATTGAACATAGTCAACCAACCGACTTTCGGTCTAGGTCCAGATCCCCCAGACCGCCCTCGTCATCTCGTACCTTCCCCTAATTAGACCATACAAGGACTGCGTCTTCCAAGTAAGCGTACATACAAACGAGAACATGCATGTCTCGTGCGATGATGGTATCAACTATAAGGAAGCCAGGCAGACTGCTATGATATACGGTGGGCCCAACAACCAGTGGTATCTACACTGCGGATGAATGAATGACATGCGTTGATAGAAGATGAGAGATAGCAACGATGGATATAAATGAATGGCGATGTAAAAAACAATCAGAACCTCCGCGGTGCTCCAACCAAACCTTCTATGGACTGGTGTTCAAGGTCGTTCCTGGCTTTGAGAATCGTTGCGTGCATTTCCTTCATCGCATTTCCGAGCTTGATGCCAAAGCGACTGAGGATGTCCCTTTGCCAGGCATCGTACTTCGCATTGACCCGGGCCTGCACTTGTTCGTAATCGATCACGCATACGCCGAATGACTTCTGTGTCTCCGACGTGTCAAACGTTGAGCGTGCTTTCTTGATCTCGGTGAGTAGCTGCTGCCAATGTGCAAGCGAGTCGCCGAGGCGGTTGAAGACATATTCAGCCTCCAAATCCCATAGAGACTGGAACTGCAGCCATTTCGCGACGTATTCCTTGAGCTGTTGAACCTTGAGTTCGATCAAGGAGAATGGGTGCTCCAAAGACCCGTCCGTGAAATGGGTGAGCTAAGAATGGTCAGAATGGGATCGACGACACGTAATAGTGTGACGTACTAATGATGTGTAAGTTACTTCTGTAGTAATAGACCCTTGCATTTGCAGCCCGATCTCGTAACGGGAACTTTGTATCCGCCGCAATCGACATACAACGCCTGTAAAAGACGATAAGGACCAATGAAATGCCGGGCGGAAGGGCACTGTACCAAGCCAATCATGCAGCTGTTTAACCCAGCTCTGTCGCGCGTATTCTATTGGCGGATCAAGGAAAATAACCTGATTTTGTATCCGAATTTCATGGACGATCGGCTTCAGTGTCAAAGTCACTTCCGCCGTCTAAGTTAATCGATCAGGCTTGTGCTGGTGAACGCTTCGGAAGGAAAATCAACCTACCCGCTCGTCCTTGATACGTTTGTCTGCTCGGTCTGTTCGACGCTTGTTCGTGATGTCCCTGAGGGCTGGTGGTTCGCGCCGACCATCAGCATCTTCCACCCTGTCGAATTCCTGGCACCACAGCTGAATCGTATGCGAAAGCCGACGCAAGAGGATAGCCTCGATCCGCTGATCCAGTTCGGCAACCCACTGCTCGAGATTCGCATAACCCTCCAAGTTCAGGCGATCAATCTAGACGGAGATCAGCGCGAATCTCAAGCCATCGAGAAGCAAACTCACAGCGGCTTGGATCTTGCTCAGCAGCTCGGTGAAAGCTTCTGTAGTATACGGACAACTAGACAACTCTTCGACTGCCCGAGTGATGTCCTTGTATAGGTCAATAACGTTGTTGGTCTTGTCCTATAAGGCGGTCGAATCACTAGGTCATTTCGACGCGAAGAAGTTACACACCTGCAGGATAGAGACCACACTAGCAAACTCTCGCACGAACTGAATATGTCGGGTGTCTCGCGCGTCACCACTCGTTACGTATCTTCCGGAATCGTACTGGTTCATGAAGTGATCCCAACGAATGTTCATCCCTGAGAGTTGTCAGTGTCAGTAGAAACCGCATTGCAGGGAACAGTCACTTACCTCGGCCTACCATTCGTTGCGCTTCGTTTCGGTACTCAGCTACAAGCCACTCGATGCCCTTGTTATTCTCAACGAGATCAAGCGTCTGGCCATACGTCCGCACGGTCTCCATTAGACTGACGGCATGCGGATATACTCGCTTGGCGTCCTTTGCCATGTTCGTGATTGCATGCGGGACCTGGAAGTTCTGCCATAGCAGATTCCGGACCTCCTTGAAGAGCGTGATGATCTGCGGGTCGAAGTTCACCGCGAGCTGGAAGCCGCCACCGCGCAGCCGCACGATCTCAAACAGTCGCCCGTTCACACCCATGTCCCGTCGGTTGATGTCGTGCAGCCATGCATCATAAACAGGGCGCGTGTCGAGTTTCTTCCGAAACGCGGCGCTCTCGGACTGCAGTTTCTGTCCCTCAGCATAGAGCTCCCAACCCTTGCCGAGCACGTCTTCGACACGTTTCATGTATGCCTGTAGCTGACGGTCAATTTGACGTGCCCAGACGATGGCGCCGGATATTGGGGGCAGGTCGCGCATCTGCGACATGTGGTACGCCTCGGAGAAGCGGTATTGGGTCTTGAACTGCAAGATCTCCAGTTTCAGCGCATATAACCACACAAGTTACTCACTCAGAGACGAACCTTATCATGCAGTCGCTTTATGTCTTCTTTTACGGAGTCTATGAGCTGAGTCTGGTACTCTTGTATAGCACCACGGATCTGGGCACTACTGAGTCGGCTTGAGACTAATACAAAGTTAGAATAGTTTTCACCTTTGGGCGCACAAAAAGCGCGTTGAACTTGGAGAAGACGCGGAACATTTCATTGGCATTCCGTGCTGTGCCCAGTCGATCCCGCAGACGTGCGATGATCTGATTCTCGACGCGAGCGACGCGCTCATTGTACGCGTTCTCCGCCGCAACCCAGATCTCGCTTCCCTCTGTCAAACGCGTTACCATCGCCAACTTGAACCGTGCGCGCACTTCATACTTACCAACTGAAACGTCAAGGACGTCGATCCGCTTCATGACCTCGTAGGCCTCCTTGACCTCCGCCTCCATGTCCATCCCGCCAATCTCCATACTCACCGTGCCGAGACCCTTCGTCGGCCCTGTCATCACCGCGAGCTGCTCATGCTGCTTGCGCCAGTCCCTGAGATAGCGCACGCGGTCCTGCAGCTTCGCGTGCGCGGGGTTGACCTTGATGGGGATGAACTTTTCCGAACGCTTGCGCGTGACCTCGCGCGCGACATTCGTGAACTCCTTGATATTGTCGTCCCATGTGCGGAAGATGTTCATTGTCTGGCCGAGCAGGCGCTCGAACGTCTCGTATGGCGTGTACAGGAGGCGGTGCGACGTGAGTACGCGCAGCAGCTGGTCGTTGAAGTCACGCGAGATTGCCTCGACGAGCGGCAGCGCACGCCGAATCGGGTACGGCGAGAGCTTGAGCTTGCGGTTGATGTGCCCGAAGATGAGGATGAGGGCCTCTTGGATCTTTTCAAGGTCCGTCGCGGAGAGCAGCTCGTTGAGTGGGAAGTCCTTCATGAGCTGGTTATATTTGTGGACTGCACACTATCAAAAGAAGGTCATAATAGAGACCGTGTACACTCACCGGTGTCTGTCGCGTCCTTGAGCCCAGTATCCGCGATAAAACTAACCGTAGCATGGAAGCGCTTCGCATTCCTCAAGCACTCCATGACCATGTTGACCTCCTCACTCCGTAATTGTGCCTCAATCCCTTCCAATGCCCGCTCGAGACTCAGCCAAAAATTGATTTCCTGGGACGCCGTCCCAGACGAGACATCTCGTGACAGCTTTGTGACAGTCTGAATTGACTTGATCCACTGGTTGACATGGCCATGCAGTGTATTGAGGAACGTGCTGTCATTCAGCAGCTTTGAAGGAATATCTGAGATGCTCGGGCGCGTACCCGCTGCTCGGGCCTGCTCAACAGCGCGTTGGATGACTGGGTGGATGGTCAGGTGTGTCTCTGGAATCTCGACGTTCTGCTGGAGATGGAGCAAGGAAAGTTCGAGTTCCGCGAATTTCTTCTTGGTCATCGGAATACCTGTTTCACAGTCGGACGGACGTTATCGCGACGTACTGCTAACCACTCACCCATTTTGGAGTCGCCATCTTTACCCCCACCTCGCGCTCCTACAAATGCCTCGAACCATGGCTTGACACCGCAACTTACCACGGCGTGTAGACTCTCGTAGGGCGTCTCGTCGCCTCCAAAAAGATTTAGTATGTGCAGCTGTGCAGCTAGAGGCGTCGTTGGATCCAATATGGGGCTACGCTTGATTATCGCGACAGTCTCAACGTGCGATGAGTCGTAAGTCAGTTGTGATGTGAGCTTGTATGAGTACGTTGGCGGCGCCTCATCTACGACCGGTGAGCCGGGGATGAAGGTAAACAAGCAGAGACAAGGAGCGCACCTTCACTCTCGTCCTTGTGTTTCACGACATGGATGACACCCCCGCCCTCACCCGCGAATCGTGATACACGTTCGTCAAACTCGTCGTCAAATAAGGACTCTAGTTCGATCGGGGAAGCAGCCAGTACCGGTGGGAGCAGGGCAAGAAGGTATGAGCGGAATATTGAGGTGTCAAAGGTAATGGATGGTTCGACGAGGGTGTCGTGAAGCACGCCATTGCCGTTTGTATGCGCAGTGCCGTTAGTTGGGGCTGGGGATGAAGACGTTGATTCCATGGCGTTCGTTACGGAGGGGGCTGGACTGGGAGCCCTGGACTGACTGAAGGGTGTAGATGGGCGGCTCCTGGAGCTGCTCCGGCCAGTCCAAGAGAGGACTCGGGGAAGCGGGCGTCGGTGGCCGCTGAGGTACTGGTGTAGGGCGTTCATGGCGGAACGGTCAGTCGACGGGAGGGTGAAGGGAAATAAGCGCATACATTTCACTGTAGCTGCACGCGATGACCGCGAGGCTTGAGCAGTTCCGGAAATCAATGAACGGGTTGACGGGGCGTGAGAGGGACGGTGCGGGGGACGGAGGAAGACGCTGGCAGGACGCGACGCGCTCTTCCCTTGTCGAGCCAAATGGGCGCTTACATGCCGTTGTCGCGACCATGGTGTTGGTGGGCCGCCCTTTCCCGCGCATACTCTCCTCCCGTTTCCACTCCGCCTCGTCCCTCTGGGCACCCCGCCGCACTCTCAAGGAGTTTAAGCTCGCCGATATTGGAGAGGGCATTACCGAGTGCGAGGTCATCAAATGGTCCGTCGTCCGCTTTCTGTCACTGCAACGACGTAATAATACAACACCCCGCACAGGAGCGTCAAGCCTTCGAGTTCCATAACCGTCTTCGATCCCCTCTGTGAGGTGCAGAGCGACAAAGCCACTGTCGAGATTACCAGTCCCTTCGATGGCACCGTCAAGGAGCTTCTCGTCAAGGAGGGCGACGTAGCCAAGGTCGGCTCGGGTCTTTGCACCATCGAGGTTGAAGAAGAGGACTCGGGCGACGCCCCGAGTCCGGCTCACGCTACAACCCCGCCCGCCCCAGTGTCTCCAACGTCAGAATCTACACCGGAACCCCCGACTGCAATTGAACAGCAAGCCCCTTCCGCGACATTCAAGGCCAAGCTACACCCGCTAGATCCCAGAGCAGCTACCCAGGCTTCCGCGTCCACCGGTCTGTCTCATACAGACATCCTGGCTACACCCTCTGTCCGCCACTTTGCTCGCCAGCACAACATCGACCTCTCTCTCCTTGCACCAGGGAGCGGCAAGAACGGCAGGATTGATAAGCGTGATGTCGAGGCTTTCCTGGCCAGGTCCGCATCACCACCCTCCGACACTCCATCGGCACCCGCTGCTGCCGCTGATGTGGATACCATCATTGAGCTCGGACGCACTCGGTTTGGTATGTGGAAGGCAATGACAAAGGTACGGATGCGTAACCATTGTAGACTGCTGTGTCCCTCACTAAATATTTTATTCACAGAGCTTGGAGATCCCTCAGTTCGGGTGCGTTCTCATCGACTCGCCAATGTAGCACTCAGATTTAATGACGTCTCCTCCAGAGTCTCCATGAGCATGGACCTCACTGCGCTGCACAACATGATGCCTGTGCTAAACGCGAACATACCCACTCGATACCTCCCGGATACTAGCTCTTCTGCCAGCGCGCCTGTCATCTCGCCGTCGGCTTTTTACGAGCAAGCAGCGCTGTCCCCTGTCCCGCCATCAGCTACCTACACCCGCCTCACGTTCCTCCCCATCCTCATGAAAACGCTCTCAAAAGCCATGGCAGAATGGCCCCTCTTCCGGTCGTCCATCGTTCCGTCCTCGTCGCCCTCCGGTAAGCCAGCCATGGGCATCCGTCCGCACGCCGACATCAGCATCGCGCTCTCAACACCGACTGGGCTCTACACACCGACTGTCCAGCGCGTCGACACACACTCCGTGTACGCGCTCGCGTCGCAGCTCAAGCACCTCGCGCACCTTGGCCGTCAATCCCCGTGCGCGCTCACGCCCGCGGAGATGCCGAAGCAGGGCGGCACGATCTCTCTCTCGAACGTCGGCGGCGTCGGGGACGTAGAGTACGCGTCGCCGGTGCTCGTGCCCGGCGGCGGCGTCGCCATCGTCGCGATTGGGCGCGCGAGGTGGATTTGGGACGTCAATAGGGGCGATGGGAAGGGCGAGCGGCGGCTCAAGGTCAGTGTGAGCTGGAGTGCCGATCACAGAGTCGTCGAGGGTGCAGAGTTGGTCGCTTTTGTGGAGACATGGAGGTCATGGATTGAGACACCAGAGAGACTGATAGGAGATGCTGTGTAGAATAAAATAGTCCAATTGACAACGTCTCAGGTGTTGGGCCCCAGGTTCGTCCTCGGTTTGGTTCTGTTTGCCCCTTCCTAGTTTGGCTTATCGCCGTCTGCGATAGCGCGCCGTCCGCCAGGCTCCTTCCCACCGTCATGGGTCGGGTAGGGGGACTTCATACGAGGGCAGTATTCATGCTATATCCTAGTTAGTATAGATCTTGCGAAAATGGATAATGCCAACGCCTTTCCGCTTTCAGTCAAATCAAATGCCCACCTGTCAAGCCGGATCGCACCCAGGCTTCTAAAACCAGCCTCATAATCGCATTCTTCGCTCCTACATCCGAGAGGCCAACTTGTGTTATATACGAAAAGATGAGGTTTCGGTGTCTAAATAACTATTTCCCGCTCCTAACCCTGACGTAGGTCTTGATTTATTCCATTTGTGTGAGTGCAATGATCTCAGTCGGGTAGGCCGCACTCTTTGCAGTTTCATGCACCCATGCCTGCAAAGGCACACGGGTTGCCTGAGTCATATGAAGGGTATACATCATGTATCCAGTGATATCATTGAGTACTGACCAGGAAGCCACATTGTTGCTGAGTAGCTGTCGCGACTTGAGGTCAAGCGACAGGGGAAAACCTAAGTGCTGGGGGCGTTCAACTGGATCTCACCGAAGCGATGGTGAGCAGAGCTCAAACCTAAGGCTAGGGACAAGAAAATGTATTAGTTAGTAAGGTAAGAAAGAATACAAATGAAGGCTTACTGACCTAGGGACAAGAGGTCGTAACTGAGGTCCCTAGGACAGCAGAGGCCGGCTTATATACATGGGGAGATAAGGGCAGGTTGTGCGCGCTGGTCCGTGCGCAGCTGGTCCGTGCGTAGCATGCTGACGCGGCCCTGGGGGCCGGTGAGTCAGAGAGGCTGTGTCAGCGGAGCCCAAGCTGTGCCGTGCACTGCCGCCCCATCTAATCTTATCATACAGTAGATAACAACGCGTCCATATCAGGCAGGTAGTACAGAGGTCACGGTGATAGGTGCCAAGCCCCTCTGGGCCCCGATACACCTCTTTTCGGCAGTCGCATCCCGCCCGGCACTTCGACTCAGTCTTCCAACACTTCAATTTTGCCTTCGACACTCTTCGACATCTTCGACGGTGCGCAATGCTTACTCGAAGCTCGGCACGGTCGTCCCGATGCCTCGCACATAGATCCCGGGACATCTTCTGCATTCGGCGAACAATAGGGCCACTTGACACCGCTCGGCCAAGCGTGCACATTGCTCCATGCCACACTGACGTAGCCGGTCTTTCCCAATTAGGTATCGAACCTCGCGGTATGCCTTCAACGACAGATACCGGTCCGAAGTGGCCATATGTTGCTCTTCATCTCCGTGTTCGGCATGATGTCACTCTACCAATGGACTTGATGCGTGCCACTCGGAGAGGCAGATTCGTGCGGAACAATGCAAAGCCCCTTGTACTTGTGCCACTTTCGATAGTCGTAGCGTCCTATGCATAGTATAAATTCTGTCGTACTTCTCTCCAAAAATACAAGATCCAGTTCCCCCCTCGAGTTCAGAGCTCATAAGTCGAGTTCGCCCCACGTCTAAGCCTTCCAACTGCGTCACTTCGTCCCCCGCTGCGTAACCTCGAGATCTCGTCCACTGCGTTTACTCGTCAATACCATCTCGATGAACCCTTCGACTTCAACTATTGTCGAAGAAACTGCGAACCGCGCCCTAGCTAAGTCCACCCTATCGAGTCGTGCCCCTTCCTTCTACGATACATCCAAGAGCTCTGCCGAGCTTCGATTGTCTCCGCTAACCACCCACAGCCTCCGAGTAGCTTTGACGACGTGTCAAAGCCACCTCGTACCTTCCCCGTTGTTCGTAGCCTCTTCCAAGGGCGTTTTCTCGTGTTCACTCGAACCGCGGGACACCTTGCTGCTAACTCCCCTCTCACTAGACTATAATCCGTCTCTCTAGTCCCTTTAGGTCGCACCCAGGTTAGGGGTTAGGGTTTCGTAGGTCGTATCATTTCTGGAGCCCACCGCGAGGGGATCTCAGGCAAGAATTCGCCGCTTTCGGGTTTCCGAAAACGTCTCCAGTAGTCACCCGCTCGCAAGCGCGTGAGGCGGCTAGTTGCAGCACCGGCGAGAACCTTGACAGCTCCTCTCGAACGCACTCGACTCCCTCTCCAACAATTTCCGGTAACTTTGACCGCGATGAAGAAGACGAGATAGACCAAGAACTCCAGGACGACTTCGACGAAGAACCAATCCCTTCGTCCGCCGAAGAACGCACTTCGTCCCCCGAGCTTCTAGGCCTCACTACTTCTGACTACGACACTTCGACTCCTGAACTTTTCGAACGATCCGGTTCTTCACCCGAACCCGAGGATCCCATCCCATCTACTTTGAATCTCGAACTCACCACTCTGTCTTCTTTTCGCGCCCATGCTCAGCTGCCCATCGCATCCTCTTCGCGACTTTCAGTCATACCTACATCCGGCCTGGCACCTCCGCCACCATTAGCACCTTTGAACGCAGCTTCGAACTCCAACTCCACACCGCCCGCACCTACGATTCCTTCGACTACTACCGCGTCCTCTTTGAGCCCAGCTCCTACCAACACTACGAACATGAGTCAGAACACGAACACACCGTTGATGCCCCCGCGCGGTCATTCGACAGCACCAAGCTTCGACCCATCGGAAGTCCGCTTGCTGCGGCGTTACTTCCAGGACCTCGAGGCGTTGTTCACCTGGTGTCAGATTACCGACGAAGCAGCCAAGAAACAGTGGGCCGTCCGGTACCCTTCAATCGACGTCACCGACTTGTGGGAAACCATCGAGTCCTTCATCGACGTAGCCAAGAGCTACAGCGACTGGAAAGCCGATGTACGAGCACTCTATCCTGGCGCCGACGATACAAGAAAGTGGTCGCTGGCGGACATGGATCAGCTCATCGGAGAACGCGCTCGTATCGGGATTCACAACGCGGCAGACCTAGGCTGCTATTACCGCGACTTCATGGCCATTACAAAACATCTCATCACACAGCACCGGCTCTCCACTATCAAACAAAGTCACGCATTTCTTCGAGGATTCCAGCCAGCGTTGCTCACACGGCTCGAGACCCGACTGCATCTCAAGCATCCCAATCACTACGCCGACGACCCGTACACCATGGCAGAGATTCATGCGGCAGCTACGTTCATTTTACACGGGACATCGAGCACACCTACGACAGCGGCTAACCAGGCTATCGCTTCGACATCGAACACCTCGATAACGGTGCCTCCCGGGATGATCAAAACCGAAAACATCTCAATGATCATCGAAAGCCTGTCGAGGACGATTGCCACACTCATTCAGCCGACGATGCACGCTACACACAACCACACCCCAGCACCGAGACAACAAGCTGCCATCCACGTCCACGAGAACAGCGGAGCTAAACAGACGTGTCACTACTGCGGCAATCGTGGCTACAGGGTAGGCACCTGCGAGTTCGCGGAGATCGACATTCGGGACGGCAAGTGTAAACGGAACACCGACGGCAAGATCGTTCTTCCAAATGGAAGTTTCTGCCCCCGCACTATCCCTGGTCTCACAATACGAGATCAAATCTACGAGTGGCATAGAAGAAATCCCACAGCACCCGCTGCTCTGACGATGCTCTTCGAGATCGACGATCGCTTGACGGTGCAAACATTCACGCTCAACACCAGCAGCAGGATCGAGGTGCTCGAATGAGAACTCCTTCAGCTTTGGAAGCGAAGGGAGGTCTTCAACGGCGTCGAGATTCTACAGCGGAAGAAGCCTACGACGCCAGCCGTCCTGAAGAGCGCGGTGTCACGAGTTGGTACGGCGTCTAGCCGTTTTTTAATTTTTTCCTTTTTGCGGGCTCGAACCCGCGACTTCTGTACTACTTGCCTGATACGGACGCATCATATCTACTGTACGATTAGATTAGATGGGGCGGCAGCGCACGGCACAGCTCGGGCTCCGCTGACACAGCCGCTCTGACTCACCGGCCCCCGGGGCCGCGTCGGCATGCTGCGCACAGACCAGCTGCGCACGGACCAACGTGCACAGCCTGCCCTAAATCTTCCCATGTATATAAACCAGCCTCTGCTGCCCTAGGGACCTCAGTTTCGACCTCTTGTCCCTAGGTCAGTAAGCTCTCCTGTACTTACTTCTTTTACTTACTAACTAATACATTCTTGTCCCTAGCCTTAGGTTTGAGCATAGCTCACCATCGCTTCGGTGAGACTTAGTCGGACGCCCCCAGCCTTCAAGTTTTCTCTAGTCGCTTGACCTCAAGTCGCG